TGTAGAAAGAACATATCAAGAAAACATAAATACTTCACAGTAGGAGATATATAGTATACTGCAACTAATTCAAACAACAATGACTTTAAATCACAAAGAAATCCAAAACAACTTTGAAAATATAAATCAATCTATTTCCAAGTTAACTCTACAACAAAAAAATTCCCAGAAAACAACAACAGAGAAGGATCAGATAAAACAGATAAATGGATATAGAATTGAGAATAGAGACTTAAAGATGGAACTTAACAAAACAAGGAAACATGTTTAATCCTAGTAGAAAAAAAATCACAAGAATTAGAAAAAACAACTTATCCTTTAAGACTACAAAATAAATCTGAGAACAAGAAAACAGATAGGATAAAATGGACTGTAGAGATGTCAGGAACATCGGAGAGAAAGGAAATGATAAGAGAAGTGGAGAGAAAGAAAAAGAAAAAGATTTTCAACAAACACGGAAAAGCAGAAGTCCCATACAAAGACACTTCTCCTGATTTACTTTTTATATCTACAGCAACATTTACAAATATACTGGAAAAAGTTTTTGATTCGGCAAAGACATTGATTAAGAAAGACACTGGGCAAAAGAAAAAGACTAAAGTGGAAACTAAGAAAATAGATGATGGAATTTACCAGAGAAAATACTTTAAAAAGAAACATTTGTTTGAATATGGTTAAAGAAATAGAAAAGTTTTGGAATGTATATGTCACTCTAAGAGGGATGAATTCTCTAAATATTATATAGTATGCTTTTTCCCCCTTTTTGTTCTTTCTTGATATGAGTAATATAAAAAAGTTGAAATGACTTAGATAAAAGAAATGTTTTAAATATTTAAATGTGATTGAATTTAGGAAAATTATAATGGATAAAAATATTTTGAATAAAAGTTAAAGTATAGATGACTAGATGTATTAAATGGAATGTTTAAAGATTAAATATATTTTTAATTATGGTTAAAAAGAATAAGAAATTTAAGAAATAAATACATATTAGCTTAGGAGGGATACATATTTTAAGTATGTTATTTTTTATGTTTCTTTACTCTTGCTTTTCTTTCTTTTTTTTCTACTGTTTTATCTATTCCTTAAGAAATATAAAAATGTGAGTTGGTTCATATGGAAAAATAGTTAAGTTCTTAAATGTAATTAATTTTTGAGAAAATTTTAACCAGTAAGAATATTTAGAATTTGGTGGGAGAAACAAATTAAAATAAGGACTGTAACAGGATCTATGATAAGGCAACCAGAATGATTGGATAGAAAAGAAATATTAAATTGATGTGACTATTATTTTTAGGATTATTGGGAAAAATATATATTTAATTGTTATCTATCAGAACAATAAGAATTATATTAACTCAATGTTTGCAAAAGAGGATATTTTGGGAAAAGAGGAAATCAACTAAAACTATTATGTGAATTATGGATTATAGAAATCAGTTGTTAGTGATTGTTTTACAAATGTAACCCAGACAACACACTGTTCACCAATTATTAACTGATTTATGTTTTTTAAAAAATCAATAAAATATATTACAAAAAAAAAAAGAAATGGAGGCAGAGGTCTATTTCAAGGCAACAAACTGTCAAAGAAAAAAAGTATACATCAGCTGACTATGTGAAAGGCAGCCAAGAACAAGCACTGATACAAGTTAAAAGTTAAAAGTTGGAACTTGCTGAATATGAAAAATCAAAATATGAATACTGAAATAGTGTAATAAAAATATTCACAGAACTCTGGCAAGAGAAAAACATTGCTAGTCAATTTCTACAAAAGACGGAGTGCAAAGTAGATAAAAGATAAAACCTGGCAATAGCTTACAGTTGAAACATTAAAAAAGATAGTGAAAGCTAGATTTTAGTTGATCAAGACCAAGCTATTTGTACTAATGCAATTAAGGCTAGAACTTTAAAATTGTCAAATGATTCAAAGTGCAGATTGTGCAAAGAAGCAGAAGAAACAGTAAATCACATATTCAGCTTGTGCAAGAAGATGCACAAACTATAAACAATAAACAATGACATGATGCAGTTGCCCAAAATAATTAATTGGAACACCCGTAAAAATTATCATGAGCCCAATACTGAAAAATTGTTGGGATCATAGAATTGGAAAAATAGTTGAAAATGAGCAGGTCAAAATATGGTGCAATTTCTGTATACAAATTGATAAACTCTTGACTTATAACACAGATTTAACAGTGTTTGAAAATAAGAAAGTGTGGATAATTGATGTAGCAATACCAGGGAATAGTAGAATAGAAGACAAAGAACCTAACCCTAACCTTTAACACCATCAAACAACATCTTGAGAAGGATTCTTTAGGTGGACAAAATTGCCAAATCCAGTCTAAACCTCTGGCTGACTTTGCAACCAAACATAATAATAATAATTGCAAAAGGTGGATTTACTCAGAATCTCATCTTACATCTTGTGATGATACCTTTAACACCATCAAACATCAACATCTGCCTGTTCCAGGTCCTTGGGAAGGATTGATTAAAAATGCCAAATCCAGTTTGAACATCTGGCTGACTGTGCGATGAACCATAATAATAATAGCAACCCCAAAGAGGAAAGGCTGAAAGAAATATAAACATGGTGCTGTTAGAAAAATAGGCAAAACTTTGTTGTGCAATGTTTGTTCCCTGTTAAGCAGTTTGTTTGTTTGTTTTTTTAAAAAAACTGCAATGATATTTATTAAATGTATGTTCTGCATCTCTTGTCAAAGTTACTGCTGAATGACATATAATTATTTCACGGGAATGCAGTTAGAAACAGGTTTTATGACTTTAAGTCTGCTTTGTACTAATCCAGTGCCCCCCTAGATGTATTTAATTGTATTTCCAGAATACCTTAAGCCCAAGTGTTTGCCTCTCTATAAATATCATGACAGCTGTTCCTGTAAGCCTTTGACAGATTAGATTGTGATAATATTTCAGAGCATCAGTGTGTGATGCTTTGTTACTTATTTTAATTTCTAATGCCATATTTCACATTATTTGTTTTTCCAATGTCAGCTTTCATAAACATTTTTAAAACAATGTGTAAATTGTTATTTCTAAATCATTTGCATAAAAATACATTGACATGGAAACAAATGAAATGGGCTAAAAACAAGGGATAACAATAGAGAGTAATAGGAGGAGTGAACAGATACAAAAGTGTAATTAAAAACCCATAATGCGAGACTAAGTACCACCAAAAAAAAAAAAAAAACAGAAAATAAGTTACAAGGGTTAGGAGCTTTAAAATGTACTATATTTAAAACAAAGGAAGACAAGTCCAAATGTCAGGTAAAGTAGGGAGAAAAAATATATAACTTTATACAATGCTCATTTTCCCATTTTGTTAGGATTACAATAGCTTGTTGACACCTGAAATTGTTGATAATTTTCTCTTCTGTGTGTATGAGAGAAAAAAGAAGAGACTTGTATTTATAGCCAACAGGGGAAAAAATACAAAAATACCTTTCAGTCAAATTTTAGGTAACTCATATGAGGGGAATGAAAAATCCTTCAGTTTCTTAATTTCTCAACACCTCTTCAACAGCGACAGCAGTGAAAAAGTTCACTAGAAAAAGCATGATCATTTGCTTTGGGATTTAAGTGAAGCAAACCTCCAGGAAATTTCAGGACCCTGAAGACATTCCCACATAAACCTTAGCCACCTGAACAACAAAAGAAGTCCTAAAAAAATCACACTTGGCTCATGAGCATTTCTCCCAAATTCTCTTCTCCTTTGAAAGCATTTCTATAGGAAATGTTCTTTTATTATCTTGAGTAAGACCTATAGAGGAACAAAAATGATATTTTTTATCACTCATTCACCTTAGGCAAGAAGAAATATAAAGAGCAAGGGGAAAGCATTAAATTATTACAGATAGATCATTTGTTCTGGGCTGCCTCTAACCTACACTATGCTTAATTCTATTGTACAATTTAGGGATAAGGAATCTACTAGATATTTGAACAGGTTGTTTGTCCAAATTGTCTAGGGGACAGCAATTTGAGTTCTTACATGTAGCCCTTTTTGGGGGGAGGCAGCACAGAGTTTCGTAGCTCAAAATTGGTGGCATCATAATTTTGAAATGAAAAACATTCAGAAACCTTGCTACAAACATAAAATCCTACAGTTTCTTAATTTCTTAAACTTAGTATAGTCCTAAATCTCAAGACATAGATTCTCAGACAATTTGTGTTCTCATCATGCCCGTTATAGTCCCAGATAAATGCAAATTTTAGCTGTCAAAAGATTTGGTCCAATCTTATCCACTCCATCTGATAGTAGCTTTCAAGAAGTTCCCATTAGTGGTTATCTGCTCTTTTACTTGGAAGTGGCAAGAACTGAATCCTGGTTCATCTGAATGGAAAACCTGAATTTTGGCATCCTATTTTTTCTCCCTTGAAAGTCCTATTTCCAAATTCACCAACTATACATGTATGCTGGGAACAGGAGATGTTATAAGTTTCCTCATATTGATTATTACATACCAAGGAACATACCACACACACACACACACACACACACACACATACACCAGTAGCCTTGGTCCAACAAGGCAAATGTATTTTACTTAGATTTAATATTTTACATGTACTTAAACCCTAATTAGAAAGTATTTATTTCTCACATACCAATAAGATATAAATTATTTGAATGGATATATTTATAGACAAGTCCATACTCCATGAATCTAACTGGCTCAGTAACATCATATAGTCTTCTTCCAGTTTGTGTATATCATAGGTCTGCTTTGTAATCTGTACTCTAGATGAACAGAATTAGGTTTAAGAGTCAAGGTTTTGTTGTCTTAAGAGAATTGTCAAGTGTATATGTGCAAGCCTGCATACAAAGCCCAAGGAAATGTTTAGCCTTTCTTAGGAAACCTGCACAAACACTTCATACAGGAAGCTTGATTTTATCCTGCTGGTCTGTGCCTTCTGGGGGACTGCAAGAAATACTTATGCAAGTTATTTTTCCTTCTGTTGAACTGCAGGTGGTGGAGGCGGCTGGAATGATAACACTTCCTTCCTCTGGTCGGGAAAATCCTTGCTGGAAGGCGCTACCGGAGGAAAATCGTGCCCCCAGGCCATGAAGAAGTGGGGGTGGGAGACAAGAGGGGGTTTCGGAGGGGGTGGAGGGGGGTGCTCCTCAGGTGGAGGAGGCGGAGGATATATAGGTAAAGTGGCTTCGTGTTCAAGGTGTCCCTTTCCCTCTCTTAGTGCTAATACTCAGCAAAATCTTTTCCTGTAATTGACAAATCTATATTTAAACTGACATGTATCTGTATATTAATTTTTTCATAATATTGCATATTTATACCGGGTGTCCAAGGATCTGCATGGTTGTATTATACCAATTTATCCATTGCTGGATTTTAAATTCTGTAGATAACCTTGGCTAAAAGGGAAGAAGGACAGCTGTGACGAACTTCTGTTTTCCCAAAGGCAAAAGGATGTCACTTTTCACAGCTTGACACTAAGATGCTTCCGATTTCAAATTGTGCAATGAACATTGTTAAAAACGGAAATCTACAAGAAATTATAGCTGATTGATTTCAACTGTACATTGTTAGGATCTGTACTGACAAATATTGACTTGGAAAAATTGTATGCAGACTTCTTGACCCCTGTATATATATTGCCTTTTAATACTATATGAATAATGTCAAATATATTTTAATAAAAAGCAGCCCAAAGAAAAATCAGCTTTTATGTGTACATTATGAAGGCTGGTGTATATCCCCATGGTTTGGATTGGGAGAAAGACATTTATTTGGCATTACTTTGTGACCTCAAATTTCTGCAAGTTACACTACTAGTATTTGTATCAAACTGCTAAAATACCCCTTGGCATTAGTACAAATCAAAATCTGTGGCACAGCCAATGTGGCAGGACATTTGACAGAAGTATTCAAATTCATCCTGTTTGGTGAAAAGAAAGTTCTCATGAGGACATGCCATCAGCCTTCAAGATTCTGCTCCAAATGTTTAAAAGGTGGTGACATTTGCTTTTTGTTCCTTAATGTTATAAAAAAAAAACAAATCACACAAACCATTTAGTGGCATGGATGTGGTGGATTGCCAATAATCAGGAGAAATACTACAACCCAAAAGATTTATCAACACTCTCTCATATGCACATACTTTCTCTTGGGGAAAAAATAGAATGATGTCTCCTGTATGAATATTTAAATTTACCAATGATTTAGTTATGTATTCTATTCTTGAAAGAGCAACTGGGATTGGTTGAATGTTTGGCTGGTAGATTGATTGGCTTGAACAAAAATAAAATAGATAATGAGAAATGAATGCACAGTATCTTAACCCAGTTTAACAATGGCTGCCATTTCAGAATGATCTTATTCAGTGATGGGATTCATAGTGAACAACCAGTTCTCTGTGTGGATGTCATTTCCAGAAATCCATCTGGTCCTGGGCAACAAAAAATTAGCTACCGGTTCTGCCAAACTTGTACAAACTGGCTGAATCCCACCACTGATTTTATTTATCTATAATTTTCCATACTGGAGAGATTGTTGTAGATTGTAGATTAAAAGAATAGTTACCTAATTATTACTATTTCCTGTGTATAGCTTAACTTTTGCATATCATTCAAATGGCTATATAGAGATTATGTTATGCCTTTTTTTCTAATTTGTCGTCTTTGTGGCTGGGACTTGGCCGTAACATTCATTTACTTCATTAATAACTCAAAAGTCTTGTTAAACTGAGATTCTGAATGTTAGAAGCTTAAAAAAACCATTAAGCTGAAACCATACATAATTTATTGGATATTTTGTCAGATGAATGCTTTTTTCTTTGTTAGTTGCTTTTTATTTTATAGTGTTGATCACTGGTATAATTTATTTACCTGCATTTGACAAATATCAAAAAGGTAGCCATGTGGCATGAAAAAATGTTTTGTGTCACCTGAAAGATGTATTGTGGCATAACGTTTAGAAGGTCAGACCACTTAATCAGATCTATCCCCACTGGTGATGAATAGGCAAAGCATGTTTGAAGTATAAACAAATTCTTGAAAATGGATAAGTACTTTCTATAGTTATACAAGCTGCTCTACATTTTATAGGGCTCCAAGTCTGTGAAGCTGAATTTATACATTTATGCATTCCAATTTGCCATATTTATGTTTATTAAGTACAAGAATTTTATAAATGTATGGTAGCCCAAAATGATACTTCACTGAGTATTCAAAGTCAAAAGAGAAAGTTACACAGAGGCCTTGACCTCATTTCTCTGTCTGTTTGCGAGGGAACTTGCAAACTTACTTAGTATGATTGTCTTAATTGAAATTGGAATAACCAAAGTGAATTGTCAAAACATCCCTTGACTTTTTTTTCTGAGTGATATTATTTTTAATATGTGGTAACTTATGGCATCTAGTGATCTGTTATTATTATGCCATTGAACCATTATATCAATTGGATTTAATTCTATATTCATTTGCATTCAAAATATATTTTTATCTCTGGTACTCATTGGCCTTTTGGCCTCATTATTCCAAAAAATGGTGAGCTGTATTTTTTCAACATTCATGAAGATGTATTTATATCAGACTACCCACATAGAGCCCACACACTAAATTATGTTACAATATATTATTTAATCTTAAAGTGCCGCAAGAAATTTTGTTGCTCTTTGATGTTTATTAGTGAAATCCATACAAAAATATTTAAGATGTTTTCCATTTCTGTAGGTGGCAATGCAGCAGAACAAAATGACCCAGAGATGGATGGAGAGGATGGTGTATCCTTTATTAATAGCCAGTATGGTTCACTCTTTACTCCTGCTTTAAAAGGTATTTTCAGTTATTTATTTTATCACATATACAGATAGAATATCAGCAGTATGTCTTCTGAAACAGCTTAAAAACATTCCATGTTAAATTAGGTGTTGTAAAGATGTCTTAGGAAGGTATTATGTTCTACATTTCTAGAGAACAATCTTTTCTAAAACTCTCCAGATGTTTTGACTACAATTCCCCTCATACTGAATTATTATGCCCAGCAATTAGAACTATAGTTCTAACGTAACTGGGGCAATGGCATGTTGGGAGAGTTATCTGCAACAGAGGTTGGTAGAATCTGGAGCAATTCAAACCAAGCATCTTCCAGTAAAGATGGAAAGGTGGAAAAGGGAGTGGGAGTAATTTTGCATTTCCTCTTCTTCGTATGTGCATTTTTAGTAAAATCTGTAGACAAAATAATCACATGCAAATATAATTTGGGCATTAATCATGAGGAAGTATATGCAAGTAGTAATATTATACTACAATTGAAAATACAGTGCAGCTATTCCTGTTTACCACCACCACCCTGCCACTTCCAATAACTAAAGCTATTTGACCCTATCAGTTTTGTTGGTAGTTTTACAATTATTCTACTTACTGGTTTTTTGTTTAGTGTTACGAATCTTTGACCTATAGGTATTATACAAATCAATAATTCTTTCATCTACTCTCTAGTGACAGAGGGGCATGGTGAAGTCAGCATTAAGCTATATTTGAACTGCAGTCATTGTGATCATGATATGTGCCATGGAGATTTGAAGACTCAGGAAATTGTTTGCATTTGTGGCTATGGATATGTGTTGGCTAATGATGGTGTCTCTTGCATAGGTAAGACATTGCATATGAACAGATGTTAATCTTTTGTTCTCTGACTATGTTGGACTACACCCAACCAGAACCCATTGCTGATTTTGGATTCCAATTACAGTGGCAAAACCAATTTTTAGGGCAGCTCATTGTGGAAGTTTAATTAATCATTTGTGCAATGATACTAATTCTAGATCTCTGGCAAATATTTAGACACCTACCTCCACATAGCCCTACATTTTTAAATGTGCACATACAAGGTATCTTTTTTAACTAGTCCAAAAATATGTGGGTCCATGGTTTCCTACAAATAATGTGCAAACATTGTTTGAATGGGAAAATAACAGGAAGAAAAGTAGAAAACAACTAATGTGTTGTCATGTTTATATTCCAGATGAACTGATCCTGCCCACCAAGAATCCTTCTCTTTCTTTGGTTTTGTCAGTAGTGACTTCAGCTCTGGTTGCTGGTCTTATTCTAGCCTTCTCAGGGATTATGATAGGTGAGTTCTTTGTTCACTCCCAATTACCCACACCACTCATTGACTGACTGACTGACTGATTGATTATGTGCCATCAAGTTGGTGTTGACTCTTAGCGACAACAATCTTCTCCAGGATGATCTGCCACTGTAATTAGTCCATCCATCATTCTGCTGGACATCAACTTCTCTTTCCTTCTTTTCCCAAGATTATGGGCTACTCAAGGGAGCATAGCACATTCACAATTTGAGGCTAGACATTTGTATCTCAAGCAAGAATTTTACATTGAGTTTTTCTATGCTTCATTTGTTCATTTTCTTTGCTATCTGTGATATTTTCAAGTATCTTCTCCAACATCAAAATTTTAAAGTGTCAATGCTCTTTCCATTCTACTTTTACACAGTTCAATTCTGTAAAATATTGTATAATAGCCTGCACTCTGTTAAGTCTTCTTTCTCTGGTATTGTATATAGACTGACCTCTTCCAATCTTTTGCCTACTGTGTCATTGTCCACATTTGCTGGCATAATTAAGTTAGAACTTTACTGGTTTTTCTTCCATTGCTTGCCATATTTTTATAGATATTCTATTAATTCCTTTAGCCTTCTACCTTGTTAATGACTGGGATTCTGATCTAACATCATCTTCTAGTGCTAGAGGTAAAAAAGGAATATCTTCTAATATATCTTGGATATTGATATCTTTACTGTACAGAATTTCAGTAAACACCTTTCAGCTTTGTTTGATCTAATTTAGAACAATTACCAATCTGTCCATTGGTATCCTTTAGTGTACCAATTCCAAGTTGGAACCTTATGAGTTTGGAGATCTTTTGGAAGACTTTTCTTGTTTTTCCATGTCTGTTTCCATCTTGAATGTCTTTACAGATGACATTGTAATACTGTTTCTTACTTCTTATAACAGCACTCTGGAATTCTTTTATCCTTTCTAAGATTTTTGTCTTTCTTGTCGTTGGTTTCTCTTTTCTCCTTGGCAATTCCCATTGTCTGTTCTGACATGCTGTATGCTTTCTTCTGTTTCTTGATCTTTGGCAGTCTCTCGTTCATCCTTAATAACTGCTTTGATTTCATTCCATAGTTCCTATCAATGAGGTTTCCTATCAATGAGGTTCAGGACTACAAAACGCTTCCTGTTGTTCTCCTTGAAAATGGTGAGTATCTTAGTCAAGATCATATCATGGAAACTTTCTGGCTTTGTTCTACTACTTTATCTTGACTTGGAACATCCACATGTTTCTCAGTTAGTTCCTAGCCACAAGATTGCTATTATAACTGAGTCTTTCTATCTCTTTGTATTAATAATATAATCAGATTTTTGTATAGTCCATCTGGTGACAGTCATGTATGTAAGCATTATTTTGGTTGTTTCAAGAACTGTTAGCAATAAAGAAACTAATAAGTCAGACTGATAAGTCATTCTCCTACTTTTTGTCTGTTTCCTAGGCTATATAGTCCAACTATGTTTTCCTCCTTACTATTTCTAACTTTGGATTTCAGTCTCCAACCATAAGGAGACATCTTGCTTGCATATGTTCTGTTGATTCTAGCTTAAACTTGACCATAGAATTCATCAACCTCCTCTTCTTCTGCATCAGTGGTTGGGGCATAAACGTGGATAATCAATATATGCCAATTCTAATTGATATTATTTGAGCATTGACTGCATTGTACCATGTACTGCCTTTGTTATATCTTTCTGGACCATGAAAGTGGTGCTGATCCTTCTTTGTTTTTCATATCCTGAGTAATAAACAATATTAACTTCTGGCCGAAAGTATCCAGTTACAATCCATTTCAATTAGTTAACACCTAAAATGGCAGTCTCTGATAGATTCATTTCATCATCCTTTGTGCAGAGTTTTCCCACGTTCAACTTTCTTATATTCCACAATTCCACTGTGATTTCACATTTGCAGCTTCAGATATTTTTCTGCATGCAACATCAGCAACTAGACATCCCTAAAGCTTTACTATAACTGCATAAGCACCATTATTACTCTGAAAGATTCTCAGTTGTTTCTCAGTAATACCAGCTGACTTGAGGGGCACTATATTGTCAGTTATTTTATTTTGTATATCTGTACGATTTTACTGATCAAATACAGGAGTGGTTTATAATAGCCTTCTCCTGTGCTGTATGCAATGGATGCCTTTGCCATTGTTACTAAATAATCATAACCTGCTTTAACTGGTCAGCTGGGATGATATTTATAGCTTGGGTGACCCTGCTGGGAGAAAATATATACACTTGGCATACATTTCTGGTGTTCTCTGCTTATTCCTTCCTGGAATATACACATACCCCTACCCAGGCCTTTTTTTGTCATAGAACGCCCAGAAAGGAGTTCCGGCACCTTTTTTGGATGGAACCTTGTAGGGTAGGCAAGGTGGGTTGTACGACGTGTGTAAGTTCCGGCACCTTTTTTTTTTTTTTTTTTACAAAAAAAGCACTGCCCCTACCACAACAGGGCAGCATAGCAGGACTTGAGGAGGCAGAGACATTTCCTGATATGTATCAACTGTGTAACCTGGTGCCCTCAAGGCAAACTAGGAATATGGCTATGCTTGGTGATATTTCTGTCACTACGATCCTAATATATTTCAATGGCCACAAGATTGGGAAGGCTGCTTAATTGACTAAATGACATGGAAAGTATTTATTTCAATTATTTTAAATATTGATGCAAGTTAGATGCCATTGCATCTGCTCTTTGGAACATCTTACCCTCCAGAGTGAGGTCATCTCCAACTCTCCTTACCTTCCATAAGAGCTTAAAGACCTGGCTCTGCCAGTTGACTAGGGGCTCCAATGGAGGGGTTTCACAATAAATTCCACCCCCTTCTCATTATACTCCCTCTCTCCTCATCTTTTTAACTGGGTTTATTTTTATAATATTGTATTTATATTATTCAGTTTTATATAGGTCTGTATTTTAATATTGTAACTCTGCTCAGAGTTACAGTGCACTAAGATAGGCGGCTAATGAATTTTACAAATAAATAAGTAGAAGCAGATTGTTTTCAGGAAGATTCAGCCATGATTGCCATTTATTCTAGGATGCTGCCTTATACCGAAATAAATCAGTACTATATGTATCAGTGTAATTATCTACATAATCAGAGGGTTCTTAATCATATGGATTAAGTGTTCCAAGACTGAAGGCTAAAGTTCCTCATCCCCTATCCAGGACTTCTTGTTTACAATGCATATGTTCTACCACTGATCCATGGCTCTTCTGGTTTCATATATAGAAAATTCAATAGTCAGCAGGCTTTTAAATGAGACTGATAATATATGCATTATTTCTTTGGTAGGCACCATATTATTCATGCAAAACATTCAGTAAGCTATTTGATGTGTTTATGTATGAGCTATGTTCCTGATTTCATGTCAGCTAAAAAGTAATTTTAGGAATGGAGGATAGAAGCAGCAGCAGCATCGTTGCCAATAAAATTGTGAATAACGGTCTTAAAACCCTTCAGATGTATTCTTCACTTGATCCTTATAAAATTAAGCAGAACTGGCCATCTCTGTAATTCTTATTATTGTGGTTGGGAAGGTGATAATAAGCAATAAAGATTTGAGTAGGATCATCTTATGAATTCATTAGAGAGGCAAGATTCAAACCTGGAAAAACATGGCCTTGTTACTTTGGACCACAGAATATGATTCCAGGACTAGATCATGCCTGTGACCTATTAGATCAGTGGTTCTCAACCTTTCTAATGCCACGACCCCATAATACAGTTCCCCATGTTGTGGTGACCCCCAACCACTTATACATCACTGGGTGCCAGGGGCTTGGCCAAAGAAAAGGGGAAAAAAATGGCAGACAGCCTTGTTTGGCGACCCCCGTGAAATGGTCATTCGACCCCAAATGGGGTCCCGACCCACAGGTTGAGAACCACTGTGTTAGATAGTTATTTCTTCTCCAAACAGCCAATAGATTAGATGTAAATTTCTGGAGTCAGAGCAAATACAATAATTAATAGATACATTTTAATTACCTTTTTAGAAATTAAAAAACCCACTATTGTGTGTGTGCAGATTGCTATATTTTCTAGCTACTTCCCCCTCACTTCCCAAAGACATTAACTTCTTATACTCTCATTACAAGATTTTGAATGAATATTTTATTTGACTTTTAAAAGCCATCATCCTGTGTGGAAGAAATTATAATTAGTTTCTCAAATCCTGTCCTACATCTTGCACACAACCTAATAATTTATCTGTTGAAACAGAAATAATGTCACTGCAGCAAAATCTACAATACAGCACAGGGTTAAACTTCCCAGAATCAAGAATGTGCTGTGGGAAATTTTGTGCCCAATTCCAATTACTCTTTTAAAGTAACTTTTTACATGTCCAATTAATTTTGATCTACACTCTACCTCTCCACCATTCCTACCCCCATATACAGCATGTATTGCTCCCACGGGATTTTGAAAGGTTAGAACAGAGACTAGCTGAAGTCTGAAGTCCATATAAAGTTATTTATTTCCTTAAAAAAAAGTCTTAAGAGCTTTGCAAAATAATATTGGAAAACTAGCAATGAAAATAGAATCTAAAATATATATATTAAAAAATATGAACATTCTTTACACATACATCCTTATTTTCTGTTTTGGATGTATGAATCATCTCAAAGTTCAGATGAGAAAATACTTATGAAAATTGTAGAATGGGGTTCAAATCCTTGCAGGTATTGTCTACTCTCAGAAAGCAGGAATACCATTTCAGTTTTGCTATCAGGGGAAAATGTTTTTTAAGGAAGGACGTGGTTTATTCATCCTGCAACAGATTTGCATCTTTTAAAGGCTCTTTTATTATTCAGAAGAGATCAAGTTTAGAATTTTAGTGATAATAAATATCTCCTATTAGCCTGATAAACATATAAAGCTATCCAGGGCCCAATGCAATTTTGAGATAATCTTGGGAATAATCTTTAAATAATGGGAATGAAAAGCATTAACAGTTTTAACACCATTGTAAGACAGACAGCATCATTTTCTCCTAAGCGTTTCAGGACTGCATACAGGTACTCCTCAACTTATGACCACAATTTAGCCCAAAATTTCTGTGGTTACCTAAGACATTTGCTGAGTTTTGACTCATTTTATGACCTTTATGGCACAGTCGTTAGGTGAATCACTGCAGTTGATAAGTTAGTAACCTGGTTAGTAAGTGAATCTGGATTCCCCATTGACTTTGCTTGTCAGAAGATCACAAAAAGTGATCACATGACCTTGGGATGCAGCAACATTCATAAATATGAACCAGCTGCCAAGCATCTGAATTTTGATCATGTGATCATGAGGATGCTACAAAGGTTGTAATTGTGAAAAACGGTCATAAGTCACATTTTTCAGTGCTGTTATTACTTTGAACGGTCACTAAATGAACTGTTGTAAGTTGAGGACTACCTATACAGTAAATAATTATTAAAGAAGGTAAATGAGTCTCCCACTTCCCAGGTTTGGAGCTGCTGACAGCAGTAGATTCCTTTGGAGAATAAAAACCACAACTAAAGTGATATTTCATAACATTGAAAACAGTTTTCAGGCCCTCCTAGGAAAAAAAAATACAGAAAAGAACAGAACACTAGATCATATTTAAAAAGAAATGACCAGCTGGATCTCTGAGGATCAGAGAAATAACAAGGAAAATAATTGTAGTAGTTGGTAGCTGTGCAACTTGATATGGACCAACTAGACAGGCTGATTTATGAAATATGCTCTTTTGAGAGTATGAATCAGAACAATTGCAAAGATACTTCAAGATAATTTTAAGATATCCCTTCCTCTTCTACCTTCTGGGGGCAAACAATATGACCAACAGCAACATCCCCTTTTACTTTGAAATGTTAGAAAGAAAGCTCACTCTGTCAATAAATAGTTCCACATTATTACTCATTGGTTAGATACAAATGAATCCTAATTGTGGACACAACACCATGTGAGGGTTCTTTGCTTTCCAAGGACTGGACATACCACAACATAGCAAATCTGAACATAAGTGCTTTATTGCAACACACATCTTCCCCAGCAACAAGCTATTGCTTTGGGTCAATCCCACCTTCCAGACCAGGTAATGTTGCCACAAAAATACGCCTTTAATACTCCGTCCTTTGTACTCAGTCTTTTAATACTCAATTCAAAGAAAAATCTTAAATTTTACAAAGCAGCATACAATGTTTGCCTTTTTCCAAAAATTCTTGTGCTAGTTGGGTTGAAGTGCTGTTTCAGTGTAGTTACTCCTTTTCACATTGCTACCAAGCTCCTGGCAAAGTTCCAAGCTCCAAGCCGGACTCCCACCAGAATATCCTTGTCCTCATCATAGCTTGTGGTCCAGGCAGATAAATAAGTTCTCTTGCCTGCTTGTGACAGCTGCCAATCTCCAGGCATTGCCTCCATTTCCCACCCCTGGAGATAACCATTTACTTTGCTCATCATTTTTCCTCCTGCACCCATCCCTCTCTCCACTCTGTCTTAGCATTTGCTTTTGTATGCTAAAAGCCTGGGTTCAGTGAGGCTGCCTCTGGACATCAGCATATTCTTGAAAAAAATCAAAGAGTGTTGCTCATTTATCACAGGCAGCTGCAAAACCAGCTTGGATGCTTGGGAGTAATGGGTTAGGTTATGAGTGAAGGTGTCAATGCAAGAGGGAAGAGTTTCTGCATGAATGCAGCTTATTTTCAAAAGAACAAACAGCAGCCCCAACCTGACTCCCTCACAGGGAGGGAGGGGTCTATAAAGGGCAGCAAAGGTAATAAGGAGAATTATAAAGGGAGGCTGAAGTAACATGAAATATTTAGCCTTGATAAAAGAAGGCTATGGACAAATATGAATGTACTCCTCAAATACCTGACAGTATGATACAAAGATCTATTTATCATATTTATTTATTTCCAGACAGAGATCTCTATCAGATCTGTATCAAATCTGTCAGAGTATAGAACAAAAAATACTATAGGAAGTTATATACCAGTTAAAAGTCAAAAATACTCCTTACATAGTAAGAGCAGTTTGATTGTAAGAGCTATTACTAAGATTATGAATTCCTCTACATAGGAAGCATTCAAAAGAAATTGGATGGCTATCTGGTCAGAGATGCTTTAATTTGAATTTCTGCATCAAGCAGGGGGTAAGATTCAATGGCATAAATTTTCCCATATGTGTTGTCCTTGCAACATCTTAACCAGAGCACAACTGTGTTGGGTGTCCGTGCAGATAACTGTTGGATCCAAGTTTGAGACAAACATTCCCCTAAAACAATACTTTTAGCAAGTTGTCAGCCTTTCCCAGTAGTGTTTTCAAGAAATTGCAGTACTGTTTCCTCTAGCATCTTGTCATTCTGAGCTGGAGACAAAGAAGCCTTCCAACTTTTCTGTTTCTGGAAGGACTGTCACTAAAACAGTGGTTCTCAACCTTTCTAATGCCGCGACCCCATAATACAGTTCCCCATTTTGTGGTGACCCCCAATCACTTATACATCACCGGGTGCCAGAGGCGTGGCCAAAGAAAAGGGGGAAAAAATGGCGGACAGCCTTGTTTGGCGACCCCCGTGAAATGGTTGTTCGACCCCAAATGGGGTCCCGACCCACAGGTTGAGAACCACTGCACTAAAAGATAGCATTCAGTATCTGAAGCTTCAAGGGGTTCCGGTTGGTAAGAAATTCTGAAGCACCTTGGACATCTTTCTCCCATTTGATTAGGTACATTGAGGGGCTGGCGATAGAGGCAGTTTTTATTTCCATTATAATCATGATAAGTTGGTGGCTCACTGGTGAATGTTGATAGTAAGTTATTGAAGATCGCAAATCTTCACAATTGCAGAAATCATGTACAAATTCTAGATTGGTCAGCTCTGTATAAATGGTTACAAGTCTGTACTAATGCCAAACCCATTATTTCACTGGACAGTGCTCCATTTAAAACCTTTTACTTTATTCACAGTATCTCACAAATAGTTATTGATGAGTACATTGCCTTATTCTATAAGTCTCACTCTTTCCTGTCACTCTTGCATTCAATCTGAACAACACAATCCCCATGTATCTTTGTGTGCTTTTAACCTTATGGCATTTCTCAATCCCATTCCTGATTCTCTTACTTTTCTAGTGTATCGGCGGAAACACCAAGAGCTGCAAGCTGTGCAGATGGAGTTACAGAGCCCTGAGTACAAGCTGAGCAAGCTGCGCACTTCCACAATTATGACAGACTATAACCCCAATTACTGCTTTGCAGGAAAAACGACTTCCATTAGTGACCTCAAAGAGGTGCCCCGGAAAAATATTTCTTTGATAAGGTAAAGCAATCTGCCTGGCTTCTTTATGCTCACATCTAGTCTGCTAGAAGTGTGGGCACACCAATTCACATTGCACCTTTTGCTTGGTCTCAGAAGTCACACAATAATCCTCAGGCTTCCAAAATTGTACTTCTCAAATGAAGTGGAGAATAATTGAAATCTGAATTTCTAGTCAGATCTAGCAGTTCTTAAGTTTGACTGTTAAATCTCTTTCCTGTGATTGATTGAAAAGGCCATCTTTTCTAGGAGTTGAAGTCCACTCATTTTAAAGGCAGTGAGATTCAGAAACATGGTTTCAGTTTAATATATTAGTGGTTGCTGCAAGGTCATTTTGATTTGTAAACTTGCGGGATAATGATGCCTAATTGCTGGCATGCTGTGTGGCCCTAATTCACTAAGAAAGCAAAACATCAACAAACAAACTCAAAACCTTAATCAAATGTCTAGAAAGTATAATATAATTCAAGCAATGCTCATAATGTATTGTATCTATACAAGAGAGGGATGAAGGACAAAGAAAAACCTTTACCATATGGCTTATATTATTCTGGATGGAGAAGCTTACATAGTGCAATATACAGATACTGTATAACAGACATGTCAAATTCATGATGTCACGTGACGTTGCGCAATGAATCGCAGCTTTTTCCCCATTGCCGGCAATGGGGTGGGCGCAGTTTCATCATGACGCGTCCAGCCCACAGGCCAGCAGTTTGACACACCTGCTGTATAAGAAGAACCCTACTGGCAGAGTCCAGCCACAAAGCTTATTAGAGGTCTGTGAATTTCACAAGCAAGACATACATCCAATAGGACTCTGCCAATTGTGTTCCACAGCAAATAATATATAGATAACTTATAGCCATGTCACCATGTATTACAAAGACAAATCACACAATGCTTCCTCTCTAAAGATATCCTGTGGAGAATGATTTTGACTACAGCTGCTATCTTTTCCAGATAGGGTTTACTATTTTTCCCTCTTGTTTACCATTTAATTTTTCACCTGAAATTCCTAGTATTTGTTCTAAGGGCACAATCCAGATATTTATCATTTAAATGTGCAATCCATCTACCCAGTCAGATCACTTGACTGTTTAGTTCAATATTGAATATTCTGGTAACTAGGGACATAGACAGATTTTTTTTTCTCAAAAAACATATCCAAGTCCCTTTCCACTGAAGCTGCTAGTGTCAAGACAACTTCTCTGCCACTAACCTGGATTTATTTCAAAGCAAGTATCTTAAGCAGATGAGAAGCCTGAAGGGATTTATATTGAGAAAATATAGCAAAGGGAAAGGCATTCTTACAAAAATAACCATCCTTTAATACTGCTCCATTTGGACTCCTCGGAAGATGCTATTAAAGTTTTTAAAAATCTGGAAGGAAATGCCTATGAAACACATATACACACACAACATATTGATATGCATATAAACGTATATGGAATCATAGGGCAGAATCATAGGTCAAATTGTTTCTTTTGATTTTCAGGGTAACTTGCTAATGAAGACAGGTGTTATCCTACTTTCTGCCATTGATATCCTATATTAAATAGTTAGTAAATGCCACAAGATGTACAGAATTATAAAGTTTCTGCCTCTTCCATTTGAACTGTGTTTAGCTTCCCACCCCTCAAGACCACTGACCTTAACAATTATCCTCCTTATTTTGCTCTTACAGCCAGCATGATTTTTCCTAGGAAAAATCAACTATGGTGTTTTTCACCTTGTGAGAAATTGCATTCTGAAAGTATGCAATATTCTAGGAATAAAAGTATCACTGTTTAAACTTAAAACTTAATCAAAAATTGAAAAGAATTGAAGAAGTAAGCCTCTTGATAGCCTTGTCATTCCATTATTGGGTATTGATTTTATAAGTTCTAGTTATAAAATTCTTCAAGATAAGCTTTTTAAGGCAACACTATAAGGCTCAGAAAAACCCTCCCCTTCTTCTCCCCTCTTTACATTAGTATGTGGAATAAAAAATGCTTGATTTTTTTTTAATGTTGTGTTTTCTCACAGTCGCTTTTCTTGGAAGGGGGCTATCTGTGATGTTCGGTTTTTTCAGTTTCTTACTATTTCCTGCCATTTTGAAGAGTGATTTTTATTCTCTCCTATCTGTATACAAACAGCCAAGCTTACAATTCCTACACAAGTGGAGAGAACTCGCTTTTCCCTTTAAATACTCTACAAGCAGCTCCACATATTTAAAAAAAAAAAGACTGCCTAAAAAAGTTTGCAGATGTTTCAACTCAACAATCCCTCAACCATATTATGCTTCTGAACCTATAACTACCTCTTGGGATTTTGTTGCTACTGCCACATAGAATATATTTTTTTTACATCTTTATTAATTGCATCCTGGAATGAACGGTGACTGAAAATCTGTATAATGAGCACACAGGAGAAAATATATAATAGAAAGGTGTATGATTTATTTATTAGTTCACTGTTTTTCAATTTTCCTAAATAATTAACCCTCCAATCCTCTTTATGAAACTTGGGCAGTGTCTACAGCAATGATGTTTAGTCCCAGAGTTAATCTACAGTGAATCTTACCTCTAATATAAAATTATTTATTTCCACTTTAAGAGCCTAAAAGGCTAATATTACAACCAGAAGACAGTAGTTAGCAATTGCAAGAGCAGCCGACACAGAGATCAATGTGGTCATTTGGATGGATGACATATGTCAGGAGAGACACAGGGGGTATTTGATTTGGTTCATGTTTCTGTGCCACTGAGCACTATTTTTAATACAAGCAACTGTAGTTTCATTCTGAATATCTGGTAGGGAATTAGTGGCACTGGATGAAAGGACTACATAATACAGTTTCCATCTGAGCCAAACTTCTTTCCTATCTTCCCCTTGATCTTAATATGAATGCCATATTAAGCTTCAAGGCTGAACAAAAGATAATACTTTGAGACATCTCTTTGGTCGTGTTGCTATTATCCTATACAGTCACTCCTATTTGATTCCATCTTCTTTTCAAGATCTTCTTGAAGATAGTGAGGTTCAAAATTAGGTTAAACATTTAGGCTTATATATCACCCCACAGCATTTAGGCTTATATATCACCCCATAGCAGTTAGGCTTATATATCACCCCATAGCAGTTAGGCTTATATACCAACCCATAGCAGTTAGGCTTATATACTACCCCATAGCACTTTACAGCACTCTCTGAGTGGTTTATCTCAGCATTATTTGCATATTATTTGCATATTTCCCCCAACAATCTGGGTCCTCATTTTGCTGAACACAGAAGGATGGATGGCTGAGTCAATCTTGAACTCTGTCAAGACTGAACTTCTGGCTGTGGGCAGAGTTTGCCTGCAATACTGCACCTTAACCAACATTAATAAGATCAACTGCATTCTACTTATTTATTATATTGTTGAAATGGATGGAACTACTGACAAGAGATGTTGTTATGAAGCATATTATAAAAAAAAGAATCAGGTTTTAGATGTCACACGATTTGGGGGTGGGGTGGTTGACATTGCTAACATTGCTTGCTGGTTTGTTTTTCTTAGGTTGCAAAAAAAAAAAAACTAGTACACCTACCCCTTTTGGAAACTATGGCATTCTAGTTCTCGTTTTTCCACTCAATTTACTGGAGGCAGTAAAAATAATGAACTAGAACCGGAATGTAATTATTGACTACATGAGAGTCAATAAACTGGCACTCACAGTTTCACAATATTTTTAGGTAGTTCCAAGACTGCCTTCTAAACAGCCTGGGTTGGCATGCCAACTCATATCCTTGTGTTTGTAATGTAGCTTCTATTACCCTGATTTTCTAACTTCTAAATTTTAGAATTATAGAATAAGATACCATAAAGTAATATATTATCCATGGGGCTTTTTTTTACATATAATATGAAAACTGCAATTATTGCAGATAACTGGGAAATAGGCAGTTCTCCTATGTTTAAAATATATGTGCTGTCTTGGTTCCTGCTTATTTCAGGATCCAGAGTATGGGTTCTTATCTTTCAAGGTATGCATAACATGAAAGAATAACAAGATGTAACATAACATTTCAGGGAAAAAGAATCTAACCTAGTTGACATCCTGCTGTGCTAGGATTTTTTTTTAACTTGCAATGATGTTTTTTCTCCATAGAATATTTAAAAATTGAACTCCCTTATAGGCATGTGAATGAAATTCATTCTAGCATAGAAAACCATGATTGAGTCTCATCCATTTTAAACCTGAAAAAAGCAAACCTAGGTATTTCATACTTGATAAGGTTTACATGAATCTTGTTCTCTATTATCAAAAAATGTTGTTCTTCTATATAACAGCTGCTGGTACTACAAACGACAGAAGAAAGACTGGCAGTGGTATGACTATGTGGGTCTAGTGAAATTGGCTCCTTTTTAAAAATATCTCCCCTGTAGCTTCTACATCCAATAATAAGACTGCATTAAGAAATATTTCACTATTTACCTAATAGTTCAATGAAGTTAATAAAACACCAAGACTTTTCCATTTGAACATTCTAGTATATATTTAAGAACATATATTGTAAGAATTGTGCCTTTGGGTTATGTCAAAATCATCTTCCCTTTTCTGATCTTCTCAGGGGTCTAGGCCATGGAGCTTTTGGGGAAGTGTATGAAGGTCAGGTGATTGGAATCCCCACTGACCCCACTCCTCTTCAAGTGGCTGTAAAGGTAAGTTTTGGTGAGACAAATCTGCCTCATGGGACATACCGCGTCAAAGAAGGGACTATGGTTGAGTTCATTTTTTAGTTTCTCTGAGGGAAAAATGGTGAATGTATTCCTGATTATGGACACAGTAGTATAAAGAATCCAGAATTGCCACTCAGATTATTATTGCTGAAGTTCATAAAAGTTATTAATTTTCATTCACAAGCATGTTTTTGCAATTCTGGTTCTTTTAAATATAACTGATCCCAAGCAAGAAATACTTTTGATTGTGTTCTCCTCTCTAGTGTCCTCCAGATGTATTGTCATTGTGACTCTCATAACTTCTATATGAGTGGCTGGTGTCCATGGTGGTTGGGAATTATGACCATTTAATCTAGCACCTATAAAACTATCACTTGGGAAGCTGGCTCAGACTTTTCCTATTCAACATCCTTATCCTGTCACAGTTCACCACCTTATGTTGTTACTGATGTGTGAACAGAAAGCTGACATTTTTCTCAAAGTAGTAGAGTGATGGAAGAAAATGTTTGTGGTTATTACTGTCTGAGACATATATATTAAATCCAGATTTCTTTCTGGTAATATACTTTCTCAACTTGGAGATTGCAAATGGTGTTGAACTGCATTTCTTATCATTCCACCCAGACTCTACTAAATAGTCAAGTTTCTATATAGAATTTATATAGGGAGTTTCTATAAATAATTTCTAATAGAGTGTTTCTAAAGATTTAGGTATCTTTTAAATGGCTTAGAATTCTCTTTGGAAAGGTGGCATCTAAAAACCTTTCCACATGAAAGAAATTTCACTTTCCTTTTTTCTTGACTAGACATTACCAGAGGTTTGCTCAGAGCAAGATGAGTTGGATTTCCTGATGGAAGCTCTTATAATAAGGTATGTTAATTCAAATTGATTGCCTGCTTTTCTACCTTAAACACACATTTACCAGTATTAAAAGCACTGGTCATTTTTACTCTCCAGCTTTTATACAGATGAATCACACATAATGCAGTAAAATTGACCAAAGCAATTGCATTTCCCTTATTTTCTTCAAACTTTAGCATCTGCCTATAGGATAGTCCTCTATCAGGACTATCATTCATAAGAGATGGGGCTAAGATTATCTCCTAAGAAATAACACTGAGATTAGCTTAAAATCTCAGCTTTCCTGGTTTGTTAAAGAGTCTATCAAAATTACCAGGAATACTTGAAATTCTCAGTGTAGTAAAGAATAACATTTTTGCACAGTGCATATTCAATTTCAATGATAGTGATAATTTTGTAATTAACACCAAAATATCATAAAACTAACTTTATTCACTATTGCCCCAAAGAAGAAGGAACAAAGTAACTGGAAATTATAGATAAACTGTTAAGCTATTCGTTTCTTTCTTTTTTTCTTTCTTTCTTCCTTCCTTCCTTCCTTCCTTCCTTCCTTTCTTTCTTTCTTTCTTTCTTTTTTGGAGGGGGAGAAAATGGTTATTTTATTTTATTATTATTTTCCATATAAAAATTCACTGACCAAATTATTATTATTTGGCTTGCAATATTCTTTTATAGTCCAATCCAACATCAGTTTTCTTTTGACCACCAGACTACATTGATCTGGCTTAACACAAATATTGATCTGCAATTTTATAATGTCCACTGTGGCCAAATGTGATGGGCACTGAATCCAGGAGAGAAAGAGAGCTTAAAAAAAAAAAAACCCACAAGCTCAATCTGTGTCTTTTGCATTAAAAGTTTTTTTTCCCCTCAATCTTCCTTGCAGCAAGTTCAATCACCAGAATATTGTACGCTGCATTGGAGTAAGCTTACAAGCTCTGCCTCGCTTTATTTTGCTGGAGCTTATGGCTGGAGGAGACTTGAAATCTTTCCTGAGGGAGACACGACCAAAGCCGGTAAGAAAAAAATTATAGTTCAGTGTAGTCTCAGTTTCCAGTTCACCTTGAAAGTTTTACCTAACTTAAATATAGCCTAGTTCTTTTTGCTAATGTTCCAATATTTGCTTTTAAAAGCTGCAGTGCATTGCAAGAATTTTTAGTACTTTGACAGATTAAATTGAGCAGGTCTTATGTTGCTGATTAGGGAACTGAACAATAGATTGATTAAGTGAACAATTCACCAGCAATTACTCTGGAGGAAAGTTGATTTAGCATATATTTAGGAGCAACGTTTTGTCCATAAAGTGAACCAACTCTAACTCTGCTACTGTTGGCGTATTGCTGATTCAAAGACTAGCCTGCACTAAAAGAGAGGGCACTATTACTATTCTTCACTTGTGCAACTCTACAAGAATTCTACAGGTTCCAAAATTCTTAGCCAGCATGGGGGACAAATTCAGCATTGACAAAGGGAATTCTGAGAAATAATGGAGGGCAGTAGGTTAGTGAAGGTTATTTTATCAGTTATATCAATTAAACATTGTTTCCATGTTTGTCAAGTAGGATGAAAGACTACTTAAAGTAGACTACCACTAGTGATTCCAAAGAAATAATTCTAGGTACCTTGAACATTGAAGATACATAGGATTATTTCTCATGCATAACAAAACAACATTGCTGAAATAAAATCAAGACAATATAATTCCATTATTATGGTTGAAGTGGTACCTTAGCATTTGTGTTGCTGTTCCCTTATCTCCACTGAAAAATGTGCTATAAGATGCCAAAATATGGGAAGATTTGTTGTCTGTGTTAATAACATGGTAATATGAGATTTTTAAGTTAATATACTCTAGTGTCTTTCCCACTACTGACCAGCACCTTCTATAAAAATGTAATTTTGGTTTTCCATGAAAACCCAACTCTTCCAGAAATCTTTGAAGAATTATACCATTGGTTAATTGTTTTGCTGCTGCTTTTATAATAATAATAATGATAAAGTTGGAAGGGACCTTGGAGGTCATCTAGTCCAGTGATGGCAAACCTTTTAGAGACTGAGTGCCCAAACTGCAACCCAAAACCCACTTATGCATCGTCGGGTGCTGGGTGGATGTGGCCAATTGGCTGGGTATGGCCCATTGGGTGGGCATGCCTGCGATGGTAATGGCAGACTGGGTGGGACTAAAAAGTTCAATCAATCAATTCCAATTTTGCAAGATCTTTTTTTCCCGCAAGAAGGTGAAATTGACTGATTGATTGAACCTTTTTTTTTTTACACATAGCGATGGAGGCCTAAAGCAAAAGGTTTTATAAAACCCAGCTGAAGGCCTAGGACTGGGGCGACGGCGCACATGCCCACAGAGAGGGCTCTGTGTGCCGCCTCTGGCACCCGTGCCATAGGTTCGCCACCACTGATCTAGTACAACCCCCTGCTCAACCCTATACCATTTCGGACAAATGGCTGTCCAGTTTCTTCTTAAAAACTTCCAGTGTTGGTGTATTCACCGCTTCTGGAGGCAGGTTGTTCCACTGGTTAATTGTTCTAACTGTCAGGAAGTTTATCCTTAGTTCTAGGTTGCTTCCACCCATTGCTTCTTGTGCTGCCTTCAAGCGCTTTGGAAAATAGCTTGACTCCCTCTTCTTTGTGGCAGCCCCTGAGATATTGGAACACTGCTATCATGTCCCCCCTCGTCCTTCTCTTCGTTAAACTAGACATACCCAATTCCAGCAACCGTTCCTTATATGTTTTAGCCTCCAGTCCCCTAATCATCTTTGTTGCTCTTCTCTGTACTCTTTCTAGAGTCTCAACATCTTTTTTACATCGTGGTGACCAAAACTGCTTGCAGTATTCCAAGTGTGGCCTTACCAAGGCATTGTAAAGTGGTATTAATGCTTCACGTGATCTTGATTCTATCCCTCTGTTAATGCAGCCTAGCACCGTGTTGGCTTTTTTGTCAGCTGCAGCACACTGCTGGCTCATATTTAAATGATTGTCCACTAGGACTCCGAGATCCCTCTCACAGTTACCACTATTGAGCAAGGTACCCCCTATACTATACCTGTACATTTGGTTTTTCTTGCCTAAATGTAGAACCTTACTTTTTTCACCATTGAATTTCATTTTGTTAGATAGCGCCCAGTGTTCAAGTTTGTCCAGATCCTCCTGTATCCTAAGCCTGTCTTTTGCTGCTGTTAGTGGTGGTGGTTGATGGTGGTGATGATGTTTTGATTTTATTCAATATTACTTTATATATTATGCTGTGGGATATATATTTTTGTACCATTGGCATTTTATTATAGTGTACACTGTGTGGTTAAATCAGTGGCATTGCCTCTCTTTGAAAACTTGGGATAAAAGAGCAAGCACAACTTCTGTAGGTAATTAGTTCCCGTGTCTAACATTCAACTGGATTCTACTTCCTGTAACTTAGATCCATTATTTTGTGTCCTGCACTTTTGATGGTAAAGAAGATCTCTTGATCTTCTGTACTATTTCATCCAGCTCAGTCATTTTTTCTCAAGGTTAAACTTTCTCAGTTCTTTTGCTTCATAGTTTCTAGTTTTTCAGGGCATTTCTAATTTTGCTAGTTTACAAGACGAAAAAAACAAAGAAAACATACTAATTTCATTGTGAATGAAATATTCTTTAAATGATCACTTTCACATCAAACTTGGCCTATAAACAAGAAAACCAGAAGAAATGAATTCTCATGCACAAAGGTTTTAATGAAAGCATAAGGGCATTATATACACAGGGAAGAGAGACAGATCTATGAATATTGTTAATGGCATGGACCAGAGCAGGCAATCTTTCTGCAACTGTTGAAAGCAATTTTCCACTAAGGAATGTGGCATCAGTGCAGTGATATCACCCAGAAGACAGAACTCCTTGGAAGAGGAGAGATAGCCAAGAGTCTGCAACCAGAAATAAAGATCAGAAAGTGTTTACAGGAGATTTTCAAGGGAGCTGAGTGAGAGATGAGAGCAGGGGAAGGAACACTGAAATTATCATAACAATTAAACTTAGTTTAATAATCATTACAAACCCAGAGAGGTGGATGTGTGAAGGTTGTAAGAGGGTGACTTGCTTCCCTGGTGTGAAGGTTGCTGACATCAAGCATCATCTAGATAAGCTACTGGATAATGCACAGAAGGTAGTGATAGTGGTCCACATTGGTATCAGTGATGTTAGAAAATATGATTGGTCAGTTTTGCAAAGCAAATTACACTACTGAGTAGAAGAGTGAAGCTCAGGATTGTCTATACAGCATTCTCAGAAATGCAAATTCCATGGATCTCAATGCATGCATGTAATGATAGTGCCAGGTAGAAGGGTTGAGATTTATTAGGCACTGGGAAACTTTTTGACACTAATCAAATGTCTAAAAGAGACCCACTTCCACATGAACCAAAATAAAACCAAGTTGCTCGTACATAACGTCAGAGATATACTAAAGCAGATTTTAGATACATCTCTGGGAAAAGGCTAATAAGTGATGGATTTGTTTTTGTTCAAAAAGGTGGAGATTTTTCAGAAAATACTTTAAGGTGTAAAGTCAATACTGAACACAAATTAATGAATGGATATGACAAGAGATGAAAAGAAGACCAAAAGGATCATAGCACATTTTTTTAAAAAAACAACTTGGTATACAGGTGTCCATACCAATTCTAGAAGCCTCTGAGCCACAGTCAAATTATGCATTGTTAATAAAAAGTGCTGTTTAAGATGCTCATATGTAAATCTAGAATTAGAATGTTGGCATGGGCATTGGCATCATTTTATTTTTAGGAAACTTAGAGCTTTTTAAAAATAAAATAAACTTTTTGAGCCTAATTTTCCTTCCATTTAATCATGTCCAATTTTTGAAGACTACCTGGACAAGTCCATGCAGTTTTCCAAGCAACGTTTTTCAGAAGTGGTTTGCCATTGCTTCCTTTCTTGGGCTAAGAGAAAGTGACTGGCTCAGTGTCACCCAACTGATTTCATGCTAAGGCAGGACTAGAACTCACAGTCTCCCAGTTTATAGCATGATGCCTTACCCACTACAGTATGCTTTATTTTCATATAATTTCTCTTTAAACAAAGATTTTGCTTTTAAATGCTGGTGGTATGATTTTTAATAGCTCTCTCATGGCTACAAAAGAAGCTGAATGCTGCCTACCCTTATGATAAACTAAAAGCTTACTCAAACCATGCTTTATTTGTTTTGGGGTTTTTTTTAGCTAGACTTACTATTTTTCTTTCAGCTCTTCCAAGTCCATTTCAATTTAATTCAGAACATTTTTAATGGAAAGATCTTATTCCTGCAAGAATATGATACTAATAGAGGTAGAAATACAGGACTGTTCATATCCTTGGAACTGAAATGAACAGAAGCTCAGAACATAAAACTATCTCCTAAGCAGTTAAAAGCTTTCTGAGCATTAGAAAAGCAATTGGGAGAAGTTTGGCGAAGAAAAGCATTAATTTCCCTTCGTTGTGTTGTGCAGCTTGGTGCTCAGAGCAGTGATTATGCTGAACAATGGAATCAATTTGTTTTGCAGTCACCTTTTACAAAGTTTGACCTAACAAGGGAAGGTGTTACTTTAACTCTTCCCAGCCTATTCCTACAAATGGCGGCCACAGTCTTTCTAGCTGGCTGCCTCATTCTTTCATCTGGGTGAAGTAAGAGCAGCCAAGAACCGGAAAATGAATTTCCTCAGCATTGCAAGGCTATCCCTGCACTCTGCCTCTCTCTACAAAATGGGTGCAAACGCTTCACATCTCAAACAAATTACTCTGTTAAATTGCCCTTGGTGGAGAAAGAGCTTCTGCTTCAACAGACATAAAATAAAAGGCAGTACAAGAGGTTTTCCTTTTCCCTTAAACCAAACTGTGACAAAAGCTTTGCATAAAATGTTAAATAAAACATATATAGCCTATTTTCAATCATTCCCACACACACACACACAAAGGTCTGCTGTGCTGCCTCATCATGGCAAAGGAGGGGGGGTGTTCCTGGGAGGGATGAGCAAAAAAGATCGGGAGGGTATGTCAAATGTATATTTCTCAGCAAGGTCGCCCAATGTATTAAGGTCATTCCATCTGCCCAGTTAAAGCAAGCAGGCACCTATATTGGATAGCAGGACCTAGATGATCACTTTAGTGACAATGGAAAAGCATCAAATCATACTGCACAGAGAAAAACCATGGTAAACCACTCCTATATTTTTAACCAAGAAAACCACAGTGATAGAAAATATAAAATGATTGACAATATAGTGCCAAATTATAGGGAGGAGGCCAGGTCAGATGGCACTCCACATGCTACTGAGGGAGAGCTGAAGTTCTTTTAAAATACTGATGGTGTTTATGACACAGCTGGATTAAAGCCTTTCAGATGTCTAGATCCTGATGTTACTATACAGAAGATGAAGATCCAAAGCATCACCTTTTGGAGATAGAACAATTTCACAAGCAATTAATAAAGTTACCCTATCTTTTTAAAGAGTAAAAAGAAGAAAATGCAGAAAAAATATTTTGCTGCTTTAAGTAGTCACTGGTAAACCATTCAGCAGCAAAGGAGAAAAAAATATATAGAGATGTTCAAAACAAAGAATTTCCTCTTCAAAAGGAAAAAAAAAAGATAATGCAGGATTAGAACAGATAACAAATTGGGATACATTTGTTCCTAATATAAGGGACTTGTCCCAAGATGTATCAAACATAGAGTAACTGACCTTCCAGAACAGTAATATACTGTAATAGACAGAGCAAACATCTTAAAAAGCACATTGAAGATAAATATCTCTAGCGCAGTGATGGCAAACCTTTTAGAGACTGTGTGCCCAAACTGCAACCCAAAACCCACTTATGTATCACCGGGTGCCAGGTGGGTGTGGTTCCAGCTACAGTGGGCTTGGCAGACTGGGTAGGCGTGGCCACTGGATGGGTGTGGCTGCAGTAGTCATGGCAGATTGGGTGGGCATAGCCGGGGTGGGCGTGGCCACCTTGATGTTGCTTATCGGGAGGGACACCTGAGGGAGCCAGGCAAGGTTGGGAAAGATCCAGGGGGTATCTGGTGGGTGGGATGGTGGGCTCCCCAATGGTGGCTCCAGGCTGGCTGGCCTTAGGCCAGTGATGGTGAACTTTTAGAGACCACGTGTGCTGGGCGATGGCACGTGCCCACAGAGAGGGCTCCGCGTGCCGCCTCTGGCACCCGTGCCATAGGTTCGCCACCATTGCTCTAGTGTAATGTTAAGGAGACATTTACTATTTGTTGAATCAGAACTCCCTACCTGATTGACTTTTTCCTATGCTTGCTTTTTGGTTTTCTACAAATTTACTTTTAATTGGGGATGAGGATTGCTTTTAAAGCCTACTCCTTTAGCAACTCTAGGGATTCTGTTCTCAGATATATATTTGTTTGTTTTTTGAGGTTTTCATGGGTGTTTGTATGTAGGTCTTTGGTTATTCGGGTTTTCTCCCGCGTAAAATTGGAAGTGTCTTGGCGACATTTTGATGAAGTCCCATTCGTCATCTTCAGGCTGGTGTTTTCGGCTTCGTGCTTCTAGATGACGAATGGGACTTCATCGAAACGTCGCCAAGACACTTCCAATTTTACGTGGGAGAAAACCCAAATAACCAAAGAACTACATACATACAGTATATGTGTGTATACTAAGCTATTTTTGTTTTTAGCAGAAGTAGGGAAGGAGATAGGAGTAGCTTTGCAGAGAGAGATGGGCAGTATAAAATTTAATAAATGAATACATGAGCTGGAGCACGTCACACTCAGGGACAGAGACCAGAGGTATTGGCCATCTAGGATGAGAATCAACAATCTGGAGCATTCAGTGAAAATGAACGTGGATGTTCTTGTCTGACCATTTTCTACAGTGCTGAAATACTTACATTATTTGATCCTTCATATTCTCATTCATTCTCAAATTCAGACTGGCAGAAATTTTTTTATTGCAATATTTTCCTGCATGTGGTTTTTCAGGTTTCCTAAAAAGAATAACACATGCCTAGTAATTATTTTACTCAAGGCTGGATTTGCAAATGCAAATGTTTTATGAAGGAACATGGAGACATCATGTTTCTATTTTGAAAAGAATGACGATTTAGGGAATCAGTTGAAAAAATAAAATGAATAAATATAAAAATATAAAAAAATAAAATTTCTAAAAGGAATTTGAGGCGATGAGGTGTTTTGGTATCACAAAATAGGGCAGGACTGGTTTAATTATATATTATATATATATATTATATATATATTATATATATATATTTGCAGCTATCCAATAAAAAATATTTTTTGTTTATAATCTTGTCTGTCCCTGGACTATCAAAATCTAGAAATGCTGCATATCATGCCAGAAATAATTTCCTTGGTGGTCTCTGTTGGTTTATATCTGTACAGGATCTGATCTGGAGGAAATCTGCCTTTCAAAACAGGATATATGCTTTGTTCTGTCAAATAATTTCCTGGGTTCTTGAAATGGAAAAAAAAATATTTGAGAACTCTTCTTTTTATTTTATAGTTTCATGCTTCCTCTTCAAGAATTTAGGCTCTGTAGTAACAAAGGGGGGAGGGGGAGCTAATTTGAGAACTAGAAATAAAAGTTGGTGATGTAATACCATATATTTAGTTGGAAGTGACTTCAAAGATTGTTCAGTCAACCTTCTGCTGATTAGAAAATTTGTCTCTTTATTCATGCTTACTTTGCCTAAAATTGTTTATTAGTAACAAAGAAAGTAGAGAAAAATAGGATGCCCAGAAAACAAGAGGATAATCCCTGTGAAATGCAGGGAATAAGAAAGAAGAAGCCTTTAAAATTGCAATAATGTGATCTAAAATGTGCTTTTTTGAAAAAAATATATACACTTAGCAACAACTGATTCTAACAGATTCTATGACTGCACATTTAAAAAAAAATTCTTGTAAGCCATTTTTTATTGTTTAAATCAGTAGTATACTCCTGAAATAATTTTTTGATTCTTCTTTTTAGACCCATCCCTCCTCGCTAATCATGCTGGATTTGCTCCATGTAGCTCGTGATATTGCTTGTGGTTGTCAGTATTTGGAAGAAAATCACTTCATTCACAGGTCAGTAGGAGAAGCTAATAATGCGAAGGACCATTCTCTATGTGTGTGTGTTGTGTGACTGACTTGCATCAAATTAGTATACAAGCCACTGATAACAATGGTTGTGTATTACCACCCCCTAGAGGTCTGCTGCTTTGAACATAAAAAAAGAAGAAGGAACCGAGGCATTATATATATTTTTAATTTCTTGAACAGATTTATATTCTGCCTTATATACAAATGGCTTATATACAAATTATTCTTTTTCAAAACAAGTTTGAAGTCTTCTACTTACGGATTTTCTATTTTGGCTTTCCTATTTGGAAAATGAGTGTGCTCAATTATTTTAACAATAGTAGTTTTATCTTTAGCTTTCTAGTAAGTTAACAGCTGGTCTGTCTAGGTTACCATTCAGATTTAATTTTATTAATTATTTTTTAAAACAGCCAATTGTTCTTTCTCTAGAGACATTGCTGCTCGAAATTGCCTCCTTACCTGTAAAGGTCCTGGAAGAATAGCTAAAATTGGAGATTTTGGGATGGCCAGGGACATATATAGGTGAGAAATATTACTTATTATTTCTTATTATAATTTCTATAAGGGAATATATAACATTCCTTTATATAATTCATCCCTCCTTCCTCCCTCCTCCCTCCCTCCCTCCTCCTCCTCCTCCTCCTCCTCCTCCTCCTCCTCCTCCTCCTCCTCCTTCTCTCTCTCTCTCTCTCTCTCTCTCTCTCTCTCTCTCTCTCTCTCTCTCTCTCTCTCTCTCTCTCTATCTATCTATCTCTTTCTCCTTGAGGAGTGAGTGAGTGAATGAATGTAAGCTTCCACAGGATTTATTTCATTGTATGCATTGGTCTTTTTCAGATGTTTATATTTTGAGGTACTCAGGAAGATATGTATGCTGTCTTCACTACAATTCTATGTTCATTCTGTGGAATTTCCTTAGCTTACTTTTATTGTTATTTTATCAGCCACTTTCAGTATTGCGTTGAAACAGAATCCTCTCCAACCTTATTTTCTCTATTTTTCTCATACCAAGCAGCAGGATCTTCTCCTGAAGCTTTATCCCCTTTAATGTTGACCAGACCCATACACATTCTTCCACTACTCTCTCTGTTTATCGCATATAAAAGTAGGGATAAAGGGTCAGGAGAATGTAATTACTGACTCTGGAATTTCTCCAGGGCACCAGGATTAATGATTCTGCAGTTGCTAAACAGGAAGACTTTAATAATCTACTATAATACAGTAGATTTTATTGATAATGTACTGTTACTGTCCTCACAGTGCCCTCTAATGTCATCCTGGAGAATTACTTCACTGCATATTTTTGTACAGTATTGATTCTGGCAACAAACCAAAAGCTTGGACTATTTATAAGCAGGATTAGATAAGGGGATTTTCTTGACATTTTGCAAGTTGAAAACTTCCCTTTGAAAATGCATTCTTTGTAATAAAGATGCAAAATGAAAAAGAAGTGAATTGTTTGGATTATTCATTGCAAGACAATGAGGTTTATTATATGTTGGGCTTATTGTATATCAAGCAACCAAGGTGAATCTATAATTCCTAGTATTATTTTAGGCAGTGCTGGCTAGCAATGGCAAAATCCATAGTCCCAAAGCAGTTGGAGAGTTCCAGATTATAATATCTGCATAAAACACCATGGCTCAAATCAGCCCAAGTTGCAAATGAGATAACCTCATTTCTGCCTTTCCTTTGTCAGATGAGCCCAAAATAAGGGCAGTTTTGTCACAGGACCACCAAAACACAAGTACAAGATGGCAAGAGCCATAATCAGATCCGCTGTCCTGTGAAAATAAATAAATAATTAAGGAAGGGTAGGAGAACCCAGATCCAGACTAAAGTATTACTGTACAGCTTTTCTCAGCCTTGAATGGCACCATATGTTGAAGTGGACGGAGCTAGGAGGAAAACTAGTTTTGCTTTTATTCCTCTGAATTTAAACTGAATTAAAACTACATATGATTAATATCATTACTCTCCAATTATGTATTTACATATTTACCAGATAGGAAGACAATTTTTCCCCCAAATGTGAATTGATGGGAGACCTTATATTCTCCTACTGAGAATAGTAAAAGCTATTGAAAAGAAGAATTTTTTGGGAAATCAAGGTTTGCCAAAGGTGGCTATGAGCCTTCTACTAGGAAGAAGATCTCTTTGAAGATGAGCAGGAAGCTCATGTCCTGCTTGGAAAGGCTGAGGAATTTCAACTCTTTGTAACCCTAATTAGATTCTTCTCCCCTTTTCTTTTTCTGTTGCATTATTCCATGCTCCTGCTTTGGTTCTTTCCAGGTTTTTTTTAAATCTATTCTTTATTCTTTTCATTCAGTCACCACTTTACTTTCTCTTTTTTTTTCCCAAAAAGACTTTTGCCATTTTTACTGGAAGAAAAGAGGTCAGTCTGTGTGTTTCATGTGTATGTTGCATTGTGTGATTTTGGGTGACTAGTGAGAAAGAAGGGCACAACAGAAAAGGATTAATTGACTTGAGTATATTATTTCGCAGACTGTTCATTTCATTAATAATGAATTAATGCAATATTATTTATGCGGAATGTGTTACCTACAAACATTTATTTATTTATTGGTGGATGATCTCCAGTAATGGATTCATATAGAGTTGGCATATCAAGATGGACAAAATAGGAAAAACATAGGACTGCATTTTGCTTTTCCATCTCTTATTCCTTATTTATGGGGCTCTGCTGAGATCTAAGGCCATCTTCCTTTTGGTAAATGCCTTAAAATGTCCTCTTCTTCTACATTAGAAATTTACTTAGTAATAATTTTATTGATTTCTAGGTCAAATTTTAAGACTTGTGTTTTATGGTCTGCTTTATAAAGATTCCAACTCTCCTTCTCCACACACTATTCCTGATTAAGCTCTACCTCTACTCCCAAAGTCTCCATTTGCCCTGTGGGAGAAAGCTTTGAACCCACACATGACAGAAATGCCCCCCCCCCCGGCTTTCTTGAAAGCAGGTACGTCCCTGAAATCCTCACCTGATCCCACATTGCAATTATAGTCACTGTTTGGTTCCTCGTACTCAAACTGTTGCCATCGAAAAATGGAATGATTGCTTAAAGCACATTTAAGGATGTAAATATACCTAACAAATAATCACAAATGCCATTTCCCTTGTTTAGAAAAGTAAAAGATAGATATTCTCCCCCCCTTTCTTCTTCCTCCTCCTCCTCCTCCTCTTCCTCTTCCTCTTCCTCTTCCTCTTCCTCTTCTTCTTCTTCTTCTTCTTCTTCTTCTTCTTCTTCTTCTTCTTAAAGGGAGAATTTGCCCTGTTGTTTCAGAAAGAGGGAAAAAAAAGTCTCACTGCTGCCATCAGCATAGCTCTCGGAGCCACCCACTTCAATCAGCTGCTGAAGGAGCCATTACTTAACTCTTGTTAATATTCTTGCCTCGACTGCAGAGCTAGCTACTACAGAAAAGGAGGGTGTGCGATGCTGCCTGTCAAATGGATGCCACCTGAAGCCTTCATGGAGGGAATATTTACATCAAAAACAGATACCTGGTAGGCTCGCTCAGAATTTTCTTTCCCTTTTGCAAGCAAACGCCTGCTCAGGGGGGGAGGTGTCAAATATCACTACCCACATTTTATTTTACTTTTTCCGGTCTGATGGAAGCCAAAAAGTTTTTTAAGCAGGCCTTTTTCTTCTGCCAAATAATAAAGCTCGTCAAATAGATGCCACAATAAAAAGAAATAAATCCAAAACCACCAACAGAGAATAGTTAGAAAGAATGCAACAGAAAGTGCTTTGTGAGAATGGTCCTACTGTTTAGATAATTTTGCTCAGATTTCCACATATAAACCTGTGGTTTTTATTTCTTGCTTTTCTGTGTCCAGGTCATTTGGAGTGTTGTTGTGGGAAATATTCTCGCTTGGATATATGCCCTATCCCAGCAAAAGTAACCAGGAAGTCTTGGAATTCGTCACAAGTGGGGGAAGGATGGATCCACCCAAAAACTGTCCTGGTCCTGTGTAAGTAAGCTTTCATGCCCCATAGGCGCATGCCAAAGACTAAATGTCTTTAGTTTCTGGAATTTTTTTGGCTATGTGTATATATAATCGGTCAGACCCATATGCCGGGCATCTGTCTGATAAAACAAGTAATGTTAGGAGCAAAGGGTTGTAGGATGTAAAGAACTCCTTTCCTTGGTACTAAGCAATCAGCATTCAGAGACCATTGAAAATAAACTGTTTAGGGAGTTACTTATTTTTTAGAAATTTGTGGTAATTCTGCAACACTTGCATTCTCCAAAAATTAACATACGCAGATGATGCCATTTTGGCTTAGAATCACCATCTGGAATAATAGATGTAGGATGTAGGATGGCTGTTCTAGCTTGGTTCAAGAGATGCCCATTTTTGATGAATAGTCCCAACCATTGTAGCCCATCCTAATCAATAGATACTCTGCTATTCAAAGTTCTTAAAATCTAGTATTAATTCAATACCTTTTCTTGGTAAATAATGTAATTTTAATTTATTTACTTATAGGTAACTATATAGATGTATGGTATAAATAAGTTCATGATTCTAAGAAATTGCTAATCAAAGATTCCACATGTTTTTCTTATATAGATAGATGTTAGAGGCCTAGTTGGTGTAGTGACTACGCATCAGTCTAGAAACCAGGAGATTGTGAGTTCTAGTTCCACCTTAGGCACAAAGCCAGTTAGGTGACCTTGCCCATTCAGTCTCTCTGAGCCCGAACAAAATGGCAATGGCAAACTACTTCTGAAAATCTTGCCAGAAAAGTTCAGAGACTAACCCAAGCAGTTGCCAAGAGTCAACTGTGACTCAAAGACACACACTCACACTCACTCACTCACTCACTCACTCACACACTCTCTCACACACACACAAAATGTATATTATTTAGGCAATATCCCAAAGACCCATGGTGGCACAGTGGTTAGAATGCAGTACTGCAGGCTACTTCTGCTGACTGCTGGTTGCCAATAGTTCCGCAGTTCGAGTCTCATCGGCTCAAGGTCGGTAAAAGGAGGGCCCAAAGTGTTGGGGGCAATATGTGAACTCTGTACACTGTTAGACAGTGCTGTAAAGCACTGTGAATTGGTATATAAGTCTAAGTGCTATTGCTATATAGCTTAGTCTAGTTCAGTGTTTCCCAAACTTGACAATTTTAAGGCATGAGGACTTCAACTCCCAGAATTCCACAGCCAGCAACGCTGGCTGTGGAATTCTGGGAGTTGAAGTCCACATGCCTTAAAATTGTCAAGTTTGGGAAACACTGGTCTAGTTTAAGCATCTAGTTTTAGCCCAGTTTTAGTCAAGCAATTCTGAATGCCATTAAATTTGTCATCATCCAAATTGCAGCTATGATACTAGCTGACAAGGATCAAAAATTCATTTTTGAATGGTAATATAAAAAAATTCGTTGTGATACTATTTCCTCTTATGCTGTAACAAACTGAGTGTCTAGCTAAATCTGTCCTTTAGTGCCATTTTCTCCTTCTACTGTTGTAGATATCGCATTATGACCCAATGCTGGCAACACCAGCCAGAAGACAGGCCAGATTTTGCCATTGTTCTGGAGAGGATTGAATACTGCACCCAGGTAACCATTTCTCTCAGGCTCCATCACTGTGTGCAGGAAAATACAAAAGAGAAACATGCCAAGCCTACCAAGTATAATGTACTGATAATGTCTTTTTCTTAAATTTCTGGGCTTGCAACCCTCATTGAGCATTGTGGAATGCAAAACAATTGTTGAAAGAATAGTTCAAATCATCTCACAACCACATAAAGAATAGGTCATCAATATGTAAAATGGATGGTTAGCTTTGATAGATACTTATCCATGGCCTTTATTGTTCTTCCTGAATAGATCATAAATCTTCAGCACACCCGGAGTTCTTTGTATTTGGTTCTCCCAAACTATTGTTTTTTGGCTGCTAGTGCAGGCACAACTTGAGTCACTCACTAGAAAAAGCTACTCCAGGTTCACATATACTCATCCCACATCATTTTCTCTTACATGTTTAATACAGCCAAAGTGGGTAAAGATTTTAAAACCAGAACCCAACGCAATCAGAGTAGTTATATCCAGTGCTTTTTTTTTGTTAAAAAAAAAAAGGTGCCGGAACTCACACACATCATACCACCCGCCTTGCCTACCCTACAAGGTTCCATCCAAAAAAGGTGTCGGAACTCAGTTCTGGGCGTTCTATGACAAAAAAGGCCCTGGTTATATCCCCAGCATATATTTCAAAGATAGTCTTATCGTCTTCTAGATGTAGTTGGTGGTCCTCATGGAGCTGCAGATCAGGAGCACAGGGAAGGGTCTGTTAAATATTTCTTCTCCCCAGTCCTAATACTGTATATCTGGAAAAAATGTTTTATTTTAATCGATTCCTATCATGTCAATAGTCCATTAAATAAGATGCTTTTTAGTAGGGGGCTGATCAACCACAGTGAGATTGTGCACATTTCAAAAATTATTTGAAATAAGTTCTTTGGATTATGCATCTCCTTAAGAAAAGAGCAGGCCTTCTCTGCTCTTCTTAAAGCAACTTAATTAGTTTCGTGAGCATAAGAAAAAGGTACTGCTGACTTAACATGGAAGACATGGAATCCATACATTTTTTACTTATATGAAAGAATAATTCCTTTATCAGTCTCATTTTATGCATAACAATTTTATTGTGAAATTGTGAATTTTAATATTGTCAGGTAGGTGAGGAAGAGAATATCTCTCTTTATGACCAAAAATATATTATTCCACTACTTTTTTTTGAATATCATAATTGGAAGATAAATGCCTGTTGAAATACTGTCTCTCCTTCCCTATAGGATCCTGATGTCATCAATACAGTTCTGCCCGTGGAGTATGGTCCATGCATTGAAGAAGAAGAAAAGGTTCCCGTGCGTCCTGAAGATCCTAAAGCAATTCCTCCTCTGTTAGTGTTGCCACAGCGAGACAAGAAGGGTGCTGAGCAGCTCCCACCTTTCCCATCATCTCTCCCTTTTGTCATTCCAGCAGGAAAAGCTCTCCTGAAAGCAGCTACTATTGAGCCAATTACCCAGGCTAACATCCAAACTTCCCTAGAAGGGGGGCATGTCAACATGGCATACACTCAATCAATTCCTGCAACAGAGCTCCACAAAACCCGGGGGTCCAGAAATAAGCCTACCAACCTCTGGAACCCAACATATGGCTCTTGGTTTTCAGAGCAGCCAATTGTCAAAACGACTTCTCAGCTGGAGAAAGAGGCAACAGAGCAGGAAGATTCAACGCAGGAAGGCAGCTGTACTTTGGGGGCCAGCATAATGGCTGGAAGGCTACCAAGCTCTTCCCTTCTTCTAGAACCATCTTCACTTACAGCCAGTGTTAAGGAAGTGCCTCTCTTCAGGCTCCGCCATTTTCCTTGTGGCAATGTTAACTATGGATACCAACAGCAAGGCCTTCCCTTGGAAACCTCAGCCCCACCTCTGTGCCAGCAGTTACGAGGATCTTCACCTTAGGAACCAGTTCCATTAACCTCTAATCTTTTTGACTTTCTTCCCATGTGACTCGTGAGCCTTGGCACAAACTTCAGTGTCAACCATATAGCAAGCACGAGAACAGAACAAATTTCCCTTCTGTTATGTGCCAATCTGCTCTGAAGTGCCATCACCCTTGAAGTTCGTTTTTTTTAATCTCTTAAGTTTCAATTTATCAGTGCTCCTTTATATACACACCTACACACTCACACCTATGAACAAACATAACTGTCTGAGATAATAATCACTATTACAAGCAAGGCCCTGCCCTCAATTGCATAATATCACTTGCATGGTTGTTTGCTATGGCCTTTCCTGTGTGCTGCTTCCTCTTAGTTGTTTATATGCCATTTCAAGACTCGCTGGCCAAGTGTTTAATGTTTAGGGATTTTATATACTGCCAAAGCAATGTTATGGATGTCCTCATGGTTTCAGAGAAGGGAAATGTCCTCCTGTCAAAGGCAAAGTCAGATAACATGGACTCTGAAAGAGCTCATATTCAAATAGCACCACAACTACCAAATGCATGCAAAACTATGGAGACCTAGCAACAGAATAGCTAAATGTGTCAATGTCACTCTTTTTTTTTTTTTTTTTTTGGGGAGATGGAAATTGCAGATAGTCAAAGAACATGACCAAATGCAATGGATTACCTTGGCAAGACAGTAAAAACCCTCTCCCTTTCCCATCCATTGTGATTGTTGGTTGGCAACATTTGAGCAGTTAAATCTAACACTTATCTTTCAGCATGTATTCATGTCATTGATGGATCTGCCAAAATATGGCAGATGAGCAAAGGATTATCAAGACAGTAAAGGCCAGATTGCATACTACTGAAACTCTCATTATGTCACTGTCATTATGTCATTGCTGAGGGCAAAGCCTGGCAATCAGAGGAAGAGAGTCCTTTGGTATACTATCAAATTCTTCCAGGGTGTGAAGATACTAATTATTATAATATGCGTTGTAGTTTAGAAAACCAAAGGTTTTTATAGAACAAGAATTTAGGAGAAAGGGATGTTAAAAAAATCCTCATTGCTCATTTTTCTAAACATATATATACATATACTGATAAATTAGGACTTTAAAACAATTATATTAAAATTCAGCATGCCATAGAGCCACAATCCAACATGCTTTACAGCTTGTTGAAACAGCCATTAATTTGACTTGAATTGAAAATTGAATATTAAAATATCTTACTTTGTGATTAATTGCCAAAATTGTATCTACACAGTAATACCTACTGGGTGAAAAAATGAGATGGTGATGCTTGTGGTATGAGAATATTGATACAAATTAAGATCTTAGTATTGTTCCAAGCAGGTAAACTACTGCATTGAGCCAAAGTTGCTACTCAGGTGTGCAACTTTCAACCAATTTTCTAGCTTAAGTGAAAAAAGTAGTATCTTAAGTGGTCATACTGATCCAATCTTTGCATTACTGTAAAGATAAATGAAGATCACTTTGTGCCTCCTGTCTTTGTTTTAAGATCCTAAATGCAGCTATAGTTCTGTGCAATTTGCACTGCATAAGTTCATTAATTTCCTTAGGCCTCGTATGCAAATGAAGATGAGTGATCTTCTTCGATGAAAGCAAATAGTATTGTCTGTCTGTGACTCTTGGCTTGCTGTAATAACAGTCAACAGAACTTGCTCTGTAAATTAGGCAAACAGAACATTAACCCATCCCATTGTCCTGTCAGGAAGTAACCAAAATTCTTAAAATATAGTTTAAAGTGAGGCTGGCTTTCTCTCTGCTCTGAGCAACCACTTATTACCATTTTACATAGGGAGCCCCATGTTCTGTAGCTGAGTCAGGGAGCTTAAATTAGTAAGTATGTGGGTTTCCTGCTTGACATTTCTACTTGCATATAGCAGAAATCACATTCTTTGTGAGAATTGTTCCTTATACTGATAAGACCAGCAATTACCAAACCAATCAACAGTTACATTCTGTCCTGCCTTCACAAGAGGGGAATAGCCAGCCCCCTTAATTGCAAAAGTATGAGAAACTGGACAAGAGATTTTTACCATACAGTAAATTGCTTCTGCATAACAGTATCATCTGAAAGTAAGAAATTTACTAGAATAAGTATGAAGCTTCGCTCCTGAAAATCTGGGCAAGAAACAGTTAATCCAAGGAACATTTTTTTTCAAAGCAAGTAGTACATTAAATTACAAGGAAATTTAAGGTTGCAATAGAAGAATTCTAGCAAATACCTTACTTTCAAATAAGCAATTATGGGGGCAAAACTGCTGCCTATTTTCTTACACAAGTACAGTTTAAGAGTTTTCTTTCTTATGAAGGTGGGACGCAATGTAGCAGATGATCATTTTGGTCAATATTAGTCTTATCACTGCAATTCCTGTTTGATTCAACTCAGGATAATTAAAAGCAGCGTTCTGGATTCTGTAAAATACAGAATATAATACTTAAGCAGGCTGTGGTGTTGCAGTGACTACACCAAACCTGTCATAGCTTATTAATGCACATTATGTAGTTGTGTGTGCTGTACCATTATTTTACCTCTTCCATTAGCCAAGGACAGCACTGGTCAAGAATTTATCTGGAATGTCATTTATTATAGTTTCAGTATATGCCAGAATTCATAGAAAACTCAACAAACCAGTAGACATTCTTACTCTCCCAGCAAAAGGCCCTCAGTGGTGTAATTTTGTACCCTTGAAAATGATTGTACTGAGATGTGATTGCTTATTGTGTATAAAATGGTCAGCCATATAATTCTCTAAAGAAATAAATTTATCTTGATGCTTGCAAAGCTTACAAATATCATTATGAAGAGAATCTTGAGTCTTTCCACAGCAGTTATTTATAGAGGACATGGCTGGAAAAATTTAGTTTACAATGCTATTAAGTATCTAGCACAAATGCATCATCAAGCATTTAAGTTACGCTATTAGGATAGCATCAAATGCTATGCCAGGGACAGCACATAGACCATAAATCAAGCTGTAGGACCATCACAAATACATGGGAATCATGCTGACCTATAAAGGAATGTGTTCCCTATGAATAAACCCTCACGTGGGCAGAAGTCACTTTCAATAACGTATATGGCCAAAGTGGCAGATTTAGGGAAATGCTGAAGGAATATGTCACACAATTTGCCTTTTAGCTGATCAGAGATGCAAATCTCTTTCCGAGGCATTAGCTTTGAAGCTATATGGAAAACATGCATTCATACTTCCCTACCTTGAAGTCTTACAGGGACAAGCACTAAAGAAAAAATGTGGTTGCTACAGGAGCTAAAGTCTTGTTTTTTTATACACACACTATAGTTGCACTGCAGCAGCAGAGAAACACCCCCCACACCCACCCACACAGAGTAGTCCCCCAATAATTACAGTTTCAGAAAAGTATACAGTTATAGAAAAATCAGTGAAGCAGAGGCAAGGAGAAACTAGCATCCCTAAACTATTTATGGTATGAGTCATTTCTCCAAATATTCTCCTTCAACGTGTGTCTTGATGGCTGCCTCCAGAACATTGTCAATTACTTTGCCTCGAGTAATAAACTTAATGGTACTAGAACACCACCAGGAGGATCCTTCTTTCATAAATATCTTATATGAGCAGGGTAAAATGAATTACAAAGCACTTACTGATTTACCATAATACAGCCAGTCAACCTCCTAATTTTTATCCCTTGTGAAAGCCAGAGTCTTGTAAAATTCGGATAGATTTGGAATTTGCTTTGTAATATAGCAGCTTTTTTTAAAAAAAAATTAACAGATGTACAGCAAACTTAGTGAACATGTTTGAGAAGTGTCTGGCTCAGTGGAACCCCAGATATCACACTAGAAAGGCCAGTCTTGAACTGTGGCTTCCATTCATTTGGAGGTTCATTAGCTTTGAACAATATATTAGGAGAACGAGATGTTAAATAAGGTAGAATTAGGTCATGTTCGTGGATAAGACTAATGGAAAGTATCCTCTTAGATCCACACCTGCCCCCATTTTTGTACAGCCTATTTTCAGATTCTGACATTTAGAAAGAGTATTCTCTTTGTGGGAAAGGGAGTAGAATTCTAATATAGGTCCAAGGGATGCTGTACATTCAAACAGGACATCTTTTTTTCTCCATTTTGCCTGGAATGATGACACTGCTGTAGGTGTAATTTTTACATTGCTTCTCTTCTCTGGTATTAGATGCGTGAGAAGTCAGATAGAAAGCATATTGCAAAAATAAGCCTGTTTTTCATGGGATGTGCTCTTGAAGTGGACATGCATAGAAGTGTCACAACACACAACGGAACATACAGTAAAATCTATTTATTTTCTATCTTTCTTTCTAAATCTACAAAGTTTAGGCCATGGGAATGGAGTTTTGCTGGGCTCATTTTGCAGGGCATGATAGTTGCTGTTCTTTAAGAATTTCCTTTCAGAAATCTGTTTCTGTTAAGAGAAGCCATCAAGCTATGTCCACGCTTTGAACAAGTACTACCATTTCAAGGGCTTTTTGCAGTTACACGTCTCAACCCTCTGTGCCTCTCCTTGTCTGTATCAGAGCTTTGTCATTAGGAATGTGATTCATGTTTGTACAGAAGCTCGTGCAACATTATTCATACACCAAGGGCCTATGCATTTCAGGGATCCTTCTCAAAAATCAAATACTAATATATGGTCATTACATATTTTCTATTGTATTTGTATTGTAATCGAGTGTAGTGAACCTAAAGCATGAAAATAAAATGACTGTAAAGAAAGGCATGGTGTACTGTCTTCACAACTCAAAAATTACTATTGCAGAAATGTGGAATACACATGGTCAGTAAGTAAAAGTCAGGCAATGGTTGAATACCTAACAATAATTCTAACAAGGAATGAAAATTAGAATTTGAATAAAAAACTTGCTATTAACTTAAGAAATCGTAACTTGATCAAAATTGCAAAAGTCTGATTGAACTAGATTAGCAGTAATTCAGGCTAGGAGGGCCAGAAGTTACAATCTGTGTAGGTTAGAGGGGAGCTATTCACTTAAATGAGAGCCAGTTTGGTATAGTGGCGAAGGAATCGGACTAGAAGCAAGGAGACTGTGAGTTCTAGTCCCACCTTAGGCACAAAGGGTGACCTTGGGTCAGTCATTTTCTCTCGGCCCTAGGAAGGAGACAATGATAAATCACTTCTGAAAAAACTTGCCAGAAAACTGTAGTGAGTTTCCAGGCAGTCTCCAAGAATCAGGAGAAGAAACAAAATTATTTAAATGAGACATGTCGACTGTTCTAAATATACTACTTTAAAAAAAAACTTGCAAAACCTTACAGTACATTTGGTAACATCACATCATGGTGAATTGGTTTTAATGTAGCAAAGTTATTTAGACTTACTAGAATAACGGACAGACAAAACCATTACCATCCTTTCGTTACAGTATTATTTCTTGCTGATTATACTTGGCCATCATAATAGATCCATTTTCCCTTCCAAGCTGCACTTAAGCTTAACAAGATTCCAATAGAATTGAAGTCACAAAGGTATTGCAGATGATTATTTGAATGATGATTAAAAAAAACCCCACTAACTCTTCAGGGACATCTTCAAGGGGGGAAAGTGTAGTAGTCACTTGTGTTTATAGCCAAATATATCACACCAGAATATATTTTTTTTGTTGAAATGTGATCAGTTATATTTTTGACAGTTGCTGAAATGTTTTGATCAAGTGTATTACAATCAGTGACCTGAATTACCAATGTTTTACTACCTTACTTTACAAATATTCTGTTTGGCATCAAAAATAATTACAATCTAGAAAGTAGTTACATTTTTAATGTTATTCATTCATTTATACAGTATATTTCCACACAATGCCCCAAAGGCAGCTTTACAACTTACAACTCTTGTTAAAAGTTTCAACCTTACACTTACTTTCAACAATTGGAATTATTGCTGATGGTGTAAAACAACATCTAAAGCAGTCCCACACTACTTATGATTAGAAAGTTTGCTCTAAAAGTTAAGATGCTGACTTAGGAGCAGGGAAACCTGAGTCTTTATCCTGATTCAGGCATGGAAGCCAAAATCTAACCCTAGGAAGTAATGGTAAATCACTGCCAAAGTTATTGCCAAGACTAGTGGTTTTCAACTCATTCTCTGCGGAACCCTGGGGGTGGGGGCGATGTCAAAGCAGGATGTCAACGAAAGCTTGAAGAAATGCTATGATTTAAATCTTGAGTTAAGTTTTGGGCTCCCATGGCCACAAAAAGGTATTTAAAGGGGGTCCATGGTGAAGAAAAGGTTGAGAACCACTGGCCTAGATTGCATGTATTTGTAACTAATTGCCAGGAGTTCAGACTGAGTTGAAAGCAAGCAAAAAATAATAATTACCATACATGGCTTCAAGGAATACTCAAAATTTCTAAGGGATTCCACAAAACTCCAGTATGATTCTGAGTGTTCCTGATGTAAGGCTCTATTTCTCTAAAATAGAACAAACTGAATTATGCAATCTTCAATCCTAGATTGAATTATCAGGGGGTAAACCCAATGGAAATGGAAACCAGTGGCACTGTTAGTCTTCCAAAATTATTTCTGCATGGCTTAGCATTTATTTTCAGAAGTATCATAGTGGCAACATTTATCTTTGTGGTTATGATTCACTCTTTCAGTCTTTAGCATGCATTCTATTAATTTAATTTAGCTTCCTAATACACCAACACTGATTTGATATTAGTTAGCAAATAAGAAACTATACTTAATCTAATTTGGATCAAACAAGTAATAACAAAGTTACCACTTCAAAGTTGAAAGGCTTTACAAGTCAAGGAAAGTACCGTATATGCTGGCGTATTAGGCGACCCGGCGTATAAGACGACCCCCGTCTTTATAGCCGGGCCGCATTCCTAGAACGTCGTCTTATACGCCGGAAACTACCAGTATTTCCGGCGTATAAGACGACTCGGCGTATAAGACAACCCCCGTCTTTGGCGTCGATTTCAGCGCTCGCGGAAGTCGTCTTATACGCCAGCATTTACGGTAATATATCATAAAGCCATGGCTTCTGATAATTTTATCCGATGAAACCACAAAATAGCTGCTGCATTCTATTAGGTACATATACTAGGGTTGTTTATATGCTTTGAAAATAATTTGGAAAAAATGTTTAAGGTCTGGCACAAGCTCATGCCTTTTCTACTACCCATATTTCCCTGAAAATAAGACCTGGTCTTGTATTTTTTTGCCTCCAAAAAAGACATTAGGTCGTATTTTCAGGGATGTCTTATTTTTTCCAATGTTTCGCCTCACGGCAGTGGCACCAACAGCCCTGTCCAGCAGGAGCCTATGTGGCCACTGCTTGAGGGTGTTGCCCTCAGCCTCTGTTTTACTGGCAGAAGCCTTCAGGAAAGACCTCTGTAGTCCAGAACGGAGCCCCAGGTTGACGCACGTGTTGCCCCTGGCCTCTGTTTCACCAGCAGAAGACTTTCACTTTTACGAGTGCGCCTCGACCCACCTCGTGCAACCAGACGGTGAGACGGAATGGGTGGGGTCTTAACTAGGACCTATTTTGGGGGTAGGGCTTGTATTAGGTGCCCATGTAAAAATCAAGCTAGAGCTTATTTTTGGGATAGGTCTTATTTTCTGAAAAACATGGTGTACATTAATGCAAGTCAACTTTTTCAGAGTTCTGCATAAGTCAAAAAAAAAAATGTTGCAATTATTCATTAAAGTCTGAAGTACTTTTTCCAAATTATTGCCCCGAAGTGTTCATTTCTAGTGCAATGTGCATAGCAATTATATATATGTTTTTGTATAACAATAGTCTGTCTAAAAATATACAACACAATCCTATACTAAACTGGGAATAAGTTACCCTAAACTCAGCAGGGTTTGTTGTTATGTAGAAAATTGCACTGATTAACATTCCATGAAACTGAACAACGTGATTGAAGCAAACTATTATTACAATCACCAAGGTAACGATAATAATTGAGGGATATAAATTTAACCAAATACAATGATAATCTGTAAATACTGCAAAAATACACTAATTGGTCACAGGACTGCTGCATCCAAAAGCATCAATATATTTTTACTCTTTAATTATATTAAGCATTTCCTTGGAAGCTTCAGTGGTCAAATATGAAATGGGTGAAAGAGAAATATAATGAAAAAGATACAGAATACAAGGAATGTACAAATATGTTCAACATCAAGGTATCTACGGATCAATTAAAATGTTAACAAGGTTTCTCATTGAGGGGTGTGTTCGATGAGAATACGTAGAAATTTTGAGAGCATGTTTGGGGCAATACTATAAAACAGATGCCACCATGGCAGCGGTGATGATGAAGACTTTATCTAAAGGCAAATGAGGCCCTGCACTTTGCTGGATCTCTGTGGCGCCCAAAGGCACTGTTGGAAATATAGTTAATGTATGAGACTGGTATTTTGTAGCATATTAGATTGCCATTTATTGTGCTTGACTAAAAGAATCTTTAAATTCAAGTGGGATGAATTGCTTAATGAGCACCAAAGAACCTATCAGTGATTACATTGTTGCTCTTGAGTTTCTTTGAGAGTTCAGGTTTTACAGACATAAATAGAAATTTAAAACATCTGCTTTATTATGTATTACTGGTGGTGGCACCTCTTGGAATCATAAGGCAGCTGCTTCTTTTCTTAGGCTTCGTGATGCTTAATATAGTAACTTGTTTTACACACACATGTACATGTACAACTCTTGAATCTCAAAAAGCATATGAGCTTCATGAGCCTTGAAAAGGATTTAGCTAATTAGAAGAGAGGTGCTTTGTAAACACCTCTTTCAAAGGATTTGCACAACCATGCTTAGTAACAAAATTTCTATCAAAATTAACTTAATAACAAAATAAAATTTAACTATTAAAGAAAATGTTGGATTAGGAAGTATCAAGCATCAAGCTGCAACTTCATCCTTAAATTCATTAGCTACTTTTTACATGATCTTACTACTAAAATAAGCTTATAGCCATGTTATGTAACTATTCCCCTTAGTCAAAAGTATTCATTAATAAGAGAGTAACAGTGTTACTATTTCATGAGAAATATAAATCAGGAAAATTTCTTCTAGCAAAGCTGAAAATATCATAAACATTTTATACAGATTAAATAAATCTTGTAAAAACCCCTTAATGTTGCTTTAAATTGTTAACAGTTTTAATTGCAGTTTGACAAGATGTTTCATTTTGAAGAATTAAACCATTTTCTGGTTTCTTTGGCTTTTCATTAATATATTATGTATTATATATTAAACTATTTCGAACAATTGTAGAGCATTTGTTTTTCCAATTATTATTTTGTGGTTAATTACTTAAAGCAAAACTATTTTAGAGTTAAATTATCCAATGCTTTAAAAGATGTTTTACATTTCTTTTCAAAGGTATATCAAACACACATTTTTCTAATAAAAATGTCAATACTATTTTCCTTAAATGTATTTTGCATGCAGGTAGCAAACCATAGGTTTGCAAATAATCTTTTGGCATCCATGTTGGCTTCAATTGGCCTGAAGGCTAAGTATTATTCTATTCAGCTGAATTCTTCTCTGGCTTGATGTATTGTCTGTGAAACAGGCTAGCACCTGCGGTAGACAAAAAAACCACTTGAAAATATAGCAATACATCCACAGAATTTCTGCAATTTCGGTTCCCAAAAGGCAGTCATGATCAAATTATCCTGGAGTGTTGAAGATGAGAATGCTATCACACACCACGTGACTTCCTTCCCACCTGCCATAGCAAGAAGGTCCATGTTTTCAGAAGCAGGAGGGGTTGTACATCCAAGCACATATTTCTCCAGGACCTTAACACTTATTGATCACCTAACCACTTCTGGATACAGTGCTTGGGACACATACAACTGGTGCAAAGCTACAGACTACAGCCTCAACGTACCAAATAGTTTATCCAAAGGATCACAGAAAATACTTCAAGGGAAATAAAAGTGCATACTAAATGTCCCAAAGGCTTTTTTTTTTTTTGAAAGTGCTTCTGGCATACCTTTTTTTAAAGTGTGCACGCAAATGCACGCACATACACACACACACAGACACACACACAGTTTAAAAGTGCTTTTGCTGGAAACCTGAAAATATACATTTTTTGTAGCTTCCATGTCATGTCAAATAGGCAAATTCTGCTTTTCAGGATTTTTTTCAACTGATCATTTTGTGCTTTCAGGGAACTGTCTAAAGCTAATAGCTTCCCAGAGTTCTTTCACTGTTGTTTTTCTACCTTGTTTTTTTCTAGAGAAAGCAGTTTAAAGAATTATTTAACAAGCTGTATGATCTCTTGCTGCATTATAGCTTCACTAAAATACAGGATGAAAAGCTCATTTTGAAGAGACAAAGCCTGTCAAAATGGAGTTAGTTCGAATAATGGAAATTATTGGAGTAACAGAGCAGCTCAAATCCAAGATGTTTCTAATGCAAGAAGTATTCAAGCAAGAAATATTTTATAGTGAAAGCTACTAAGTTCTCATTCTTCAGTCACTGCACACTTCCAAACTGTGAACATCTTAGAGTCACGAAGCTTTAGGATGTTAAGTAAAGATGGGGTTCCATGCAGGTAAAAGTCAGGTTTTCCTCATCTGTTTTTGTTAGTACCTCATCTTAATGAAAAATAGTGTTCTTCAACAGATATCATCAACAAGTTTCATTCCATTAATCCCACGATAAGTTACTCGACTTGGGCGCACCAAGACTCCATATTTTGGCTTGCAAGTGAAATATCGTTTGTCACCCACAGAGCCATCATTCTTGCCCTTAGCACTCCGAAGTTCCAGGCCAAGCCAAATGCCTGGAGCAAAACTGGTGGGCCCAATGTAGCGAATTGTGCCCATCTCACTGGAGCTGCTCAGGAGGACCTGAGAGCCTTCATGTAATTTTACTGGGCTGTCTGTGCTTGTAGTAGTAGTGTTGCTCCAACTACGACGCAAAGAAGAATTTTTTGATCTGGACAGAGAAAAAGAGACAACAACATTAATTTCCAATTGAAAATAAAAGAAAGTAAAATAAAAAATACAACATTGCACAGCAAGAGGAAATTGGCCTCTAATGTATTAAATTAGGCCCAAGGACCTCTTTCTACTAATTGATTCTAATTCAGTTTCCAAAGCAATATATGTATACATTTGACTTATTCTTTGATCAGTTGACTATATTTCTATTCTGTCAGTGCTATGAAAAAAGAAAACTTTGAAGTAATCTTCTTCATTCACATTAAACTGAAAGTCAAGAAGATTTTACAAGTATAACCCTTTCCTCTCAATGTCCATATTAACTCTGGAAGAGCTAAATATGCCAAGATGTTGTATAAGAAAAAAATAAATTGCTCTCCTGTTGCAATCCCAATAACTATCAGTTTGTCATACGCTCACCATATTTTAAAAACAAAGATATTAAAATCAGGTAAGTATTTAATATCACTTCCAGTGTGGTCTAAGCAAGATTCCAATAAAAAGTAGCACAAACTATGGAAGATGAGAGAAGCAAGATTTTAGAAAATGTTAGCCATTTAGTTCTGGCAGGAAAATGGCAATGATTTTCAATATAGACCTGGGTTTTTTACCACCTGGAGTTATTCACTTCAGAATATATTACTGCTTGTTTTTAACAACTATCAGCCACTGCAGCATGAAAATTCATAGATGCGCAAACCATCATTAGCACTGTTCTTCTTTCAGACATTCAGAAATAGATACGCAATTTGCATACATACACCAAAATGATTCCTTAATCATGAAGATTCATGCTTCCTCAAACAAAAGGGGATTTTAAGTCTTCTAATCTCAGAAAATTAGGAATATATAAATTCTGTCCTTTCTTCTATAAAGTCACTTACTTGACAAAGAAATTTTTCCTGTTTATCTCTTTTTGTGAAGCTGCAGAGATTGTACTGAAACTTCGTTGGAAACCTGAATGAAAAAAAGCAGAATAAGCTTTTAATTTAACATGCAATATATTTCTATGGTGGTTTGTAATGATGAATCTTCAGCTATTTTGGACTATGAGAAAAAAAATGAGGTCAGCTGAAAAAACCAATGAGGAAGGCTACACAAAAAGCCAAATAACGATCTGTAAAAAAGAAAGTATACTGAGAACAGAAAGCAGGATGGATCACAAGAAGATGAAGCAAGAAAATATTGTACACTCTTGGTTTCAATATAATCAATTGTTAGCTAGGTGGAGTTTAGATCAAAAGATTGGTATTGCTTTAGAGAATGTGAATTTGATAAAACAGATTAAAGATCAAACTTGAGCTCATATAAAGAGAATTTATAATGTCTTAATAGAATTGGATTCTGAAACGGAACTAGTTAAAGATTGTATGGTAAAATGGGCACAAAATATTCAAGAGCCGATTCTGTTGGACACATGGGAGATAATTTGGGTTAGAAATGTAAAATTTACTCAAGCTCAAAGTTTGAGAGAAAATTTTTATAAAATGTTTTATAGGTGGCATTTGGATCCCCAAAAGTTGTCTTGTATGTATCCTAACTTGCAGCCCAAATGTTGGAGATGTGGTAGTTTGGATGCAATTTATTTTCATATTTGGTGGACTGGTAGAAATGTAAAAGCTTTTTGGACAAAAATTTGGTGGAACATTCAGAATATTTTTAAAAGAAAGATAACGTTTACTCCTCAACTATTTTTGTTGGGTATTATAGTAGATGTTGATGCTAAAGAAATTAATTTGATGTTGAATTTAATAACAGCAGCAAGGCTGCTGGTAGGGCAATATTGGAAGAAGGAAAGTTTGCCTACTATAGAAGAATGGACACTTAAAGTGTCAAACTTAGCAGAAATGGCTAAGATTTCTGCTTATTTGAAGGATTATTCACAAGAAAAATACATTTCGGTTTGGAGAAAATGGATAGATTATATTCAGAATAAATATGGGACTAAAAAGTTCCATTTATTTTATGAATAAATTTTAGAATATTATCATTGTTATTATTACTATTATTAATAATAATTTAGTATAGTGTAAATTTAGTATACTGGTATATACACATTAAAAACACAGCACAAAAAAGCTAAAGTAGTTAACTTCTAATTTGCTAATGATTCAGTCTATATTGAAAATATAACTGTTTTTTTTCTAACATGAAACTTTAAACTTAATCTCTGAACTGAAATACTTAAAATAATGGACACTTGTGGATTGATCTTCAATATATACCTCAGAATTAGAATATTAACTCAGAATCTAATATTAATATTAGAATACTAATAAAATCACACACTTCGGGTTTTATACAAAAATATGCAAAGTAAAGTATACATTCAACATTTAAGCTTTTAACTGCATTTCAGAAAGATATATCTGTAGAACCCAGGAATCTAGAAATACAAACTATAGATCTCTGCAATCTCACAAAAAATCCACTCTTCTTAAAAAAAACATATTTAAATCCAGAAATGCTTTAAAAAAAATAAAAGAAAGAAAAAGGACGTAACATTTGTTTTCCCAATTCATTCTCACTTTACATCAACAGCAAATATATCATCTTCAAGAATCTACAATTTCTGCAATTTCCATAGGTAATAAAAACCAAAAACAGATTCATGTTGTATTCTTACCAGGGAAAGAATGATTCATTTTATTTGAAGTATCTGTGAGAGATTCTAGTGATCCTGTTAGCCTGCAAATGAAATCATGTATTATTTTTTTCTCACTCAAGATAACAAAAGAAAAAGAAAAACAGTATAATTCTTCCTTTACTCTAGCACTGGTAAACACCCTTCAGCAGATAACATACTCCGGATTGAATTTTCTGAAATCAGAATATAATTTTCCCAAAACTACAGGTAGTCCTCAACTTACGACCATAATTGAGCCCAAAATATCTGTTGTTAAGTGAGTTTTGCCCCATTTTATGACCTTTCTCGCCACAGCTGTTAAGTCAATCACTGCAGTGAATTGACTTTGTTTGTCAGAAGGTTGCAGAAGGGGATCACCTGACCTTGGCATACATCAACGTTCATAAATATGAATCCATTGCCAAACATCTGAATTTTGATCACATGATCGTGGGAATGCTACAAAGGGTGTAGCTGTGAAAAACTGTCGTAAGGCACATTTTTCAGTGCCGTTATAATTTTAAACGGTCACTAAATAACTCTTGTAAATCAAGGTTTACCTGTAATGCTCTGAAGATGGATTTGCCCTTTAGTACTCCTCTTAATCCTGAATCAAGTTCCTTTTATTAGTTGAAGAAAATTGGTCTAACATGATCAAGAATTAAGTGCTGGGACATTACTGCAGAAAAACTGGTAATGGAAGGCCAAACTAGAAATGGGTCTTTAGAATAGAGAAATAGTTTTCCCCATGATTCACACTGTCCCCATGATTCCCATTCCCCAGAGGCAAGAAGGACAGAATAAATACCTATTGAAGCTCCCTAAATAAAGCATTTCAGGGATCAAATACTCTGCAGCAGCAGAAAATTCTGTTTTTCACCTCTTGTAGTTAAATAGCTATGAATCCCCAAAAGCAACTACTGCTAAGAGAATCACAATTCCAAAATATGTAACTTAGACACAAAATTTCTGACCCTGGTGGAAGATTACCATGGTTCCATTCCAGCTTCTTGTCTTGCAGCCAACACAGGCGCTTCTTTGTTCTTTTTTTCTCTGTAAATAATTTATTGTTTATCCTGAATTCATGTCATTCTTTTATGCTGTCCGTGTGTTAATTTCAATTTTCCACTGCCCCTTCTCCAAGATACTTCTCAACCTAACCGTGTTTTAGCCTCAGTGTGTGCACTCTTCATTTGCCACTATTTCCCCTTATTTTCCCACCATGGTATTTTCTCTTCTACTCTCTATGCCACCTCAAAGTCCCTCTCATTCACAACACTGAATACTGTCTGCAATTTAGTTAATAGTAACCAATAGTGGAACAACTTGCCTTTGGAAATCATTGAGTGCTCCATCACTGGAGGTTTTTAAGAAGAGACTGGACAGTCATGTCTGAGATGGTATAGGTTCTCCTGCTTGAGCAGGAGGCTGAACTAGAAGACCTTCTAGGTCCCTTCCAGCTCTATTCTATTCTATTCTATTCTATTCTATTCTATTCTATTCTATTCTATTCTATTCTATTCTATTCTATTCTATTCTATTCTATTCTATTCTATCTCTACTCTACTCTACTCTACTCCACTCTACTCTACTCTATTCTTAATTTATTTAATAGTAACCAAAGTGCCATCAAAGTAGTGTTAGCTCTGAATGCCCACATAGGTAGATCTGTTTCCATCCTGGCCCTTCAAGCCTCCCCATCAATCATTTCATTCTGCTTTATAGCACCAGAAGTTAAATGAAGATTTCAGAAATCTTTCTTTCAATTACGAGATTCCAAATACTGACATCAGATGCAACTACTTTTATTAAAAAGAAATTCAAAATACAACTGAACTTTATTATCTCACATTAGTCTTGACTTATTAGTTTCTTTGGCCAAGCTTATATCAGAATAAGGATAATCAAAATTTGATAGAAGAGAATATTGCACTGATGATGTCACCTAGCTTGGTAATGAAACCTTGGCAAGAAAACCACCAAACTTAGACAGCACAAGAATCTACAGTTTGGCAACAGTGATACTGATCTAGGCTTCTCCCAAACCGGAAAAGGTTTCTGAATGAAAGTAATACAATAAAATATATTTGATGCTGAAACCACAGTCTATGACACTTACTTTTGCACTCTAGAGGGTGGTGCAAAAACACCGTATCTGGGGGGGCATCTGAAATACTGTATGCCTGCAACTGAGCCATCATTCTTGCCACGAGGTTTATCCAGTTCTATGCCATACCAAAGCCCTGCAACAAGAAATAGCTTTTTTTATTTTCAAACGGGGTGTTACTGTTCATTAAAAAGAGTTTCATTTGAAAAGAAATGCTCCTCACAGTTTGAATCTGCAGAACCAAAGGAGGGGAAAAGCTGATTCAAATAAATAAATCAACTTCAGTAAACTATCAAGGCAACAGCGTTTTCTCAAGATTTGTTTCAGCTTGCATTTTAGTATTTAACTCCACTACATGTACAAAGAAGCTGATGGACTAAGGAGAGGAAAGTAGGATATCAATTGCTAAATACTGCAATTCAATCTAGGGAAGAACAACAAAGCTTTAAAATCAGAGTTTTCAGTTTAGAGGAACAATCAGTGCTTCAGAGGCAACTGTGACATCTGCAAGTTCATCAGTAACTATGCATTTAAATAAGTTTTAGGATACTGTACTTTAAATTCTCTCAGATGAACTAAAATGCTACCGAGTACAATCTTTTGAAGAAAGAGAAGACCTGCTCAATTATTGTTGCTAACTAGCAACTCAACTTCTTCAGTCTTCTTGTAAGACTTAGGACAGTCATTTTTTCAGTTAGGTCCCCTCCAATGTATCTCTAATATGTCCCATCCTCATATATTTCTGGTCACAATTTAAATGCTCAGAGAAATTCCTTCATCATTTCCAACAGGAAAACAAAAAGTTGATTCTACAACTAATACATTTGTAGCAGAATATTTTCTTCAGAAATTATCAATTAATAATTTATTGAGTTTTAGGGAGTAGCTTACTGTATACATCAATTAGCTAATTAATTACTATTGATGTTTAGTGTAATTGCTATTGGTTTTTACTGTAAATCTATTCATTATTTTATTAACTGTAAATATTTAATTGATATTCTATACTGTTTATGAAAATTACATTACATCTTTTAATGGAAACTGAAAGGCAAACATGTGATAAACAATAAAGTTACCTGATGCAAACTTGGTTGTCCCATAGAATCTAACTATTCCAGTTCTTTGTCCGACCACCAGTACTCTTTCTCCAATCTGAATTTCCCCTTCCTCAAATGCATTTTTCTTTGCAGATAGAAAAGTATTGTTTCCTTCTGTTCAATTGGGTTCACAAAATGCAGGAGATATACAAATTACATAAAATAAAAAAATACTTATGAACTCATTATTCACATATAGGCTCATCACAGTCAGTTATGCTCTGACAGCATTAAATAAAATTACAGTATAAGTGTAATATATCTGCATGATTTTCAAATTTAGCAAAGACAATTACCTATAAATATAGGAAATTAAGATTGGTACTATAGAAGAGGCTTATATTACTGTACAATTCACTTCAAATATGTGAAATCTAAACAATTTCAGCCAGAGAAATTATCTTAGCTCCTGCTACCATTTGTGATAATCTATTTTCTTCCACAGCCAATCCTAATGATTTTTAGATAAGATATATTTCCCAGGATTGCATAAAGCAGTCAGAAGCATCTGACCTCATAGCAACAAAGCAGCTGCATCCTGTGGAAAGCTAAGATAGCTGCTTTGAAAATTGAGCCTAGTTATCTATGCAGGCACAGAGATCACAATTGGAGCATTCTCTGATATTGGGAGAACATAAGAAAATTACTTTTTTCCCATTAAGTATAAACTAGAAAAATGAAGTTTTGCACAGAGTTTCCATAAGGCCCACAGCTGGCCTGGTGATTTGAGGTCAACTGCACTTACCAAATATTCCCTTGCCACTTCACTCACACTTCCAGGAACAACAAAACTTACCTGGAAATCACAAGTATTATAGAATTTAACAGCTGCATTAGAGCTTTAGATAATCAATCTTCCCATATCTCTATCCTTATAATGGTCTATTACAACAAATAATTGAGAGAAAATTGTACCAGCCATAGATTTGGATGAAATTGGGTGGTCTTTCATGTTTTCCTTATTACTTGTGGAATTACATTTCTTGGGACAATTCAGCTTGCTGTCTAATGATACAGTTGAGGATGAAGAGCTACTGGATCCAAGGTAATTTGCTAAAAATAATAAAACAAAATTATTCAGCTAGAAAACACATAAACATATGAAAGAAGTGTCATTTTGTCACATTTTTCATTCCTTGTGAGCATAAAACTAACTGATCATGATGGATACCACTTAGTTTTTCAAGTCTATGTTACTAATATGTAATACTTGTAAGCCTAGAGCATAAATGTAAAAATAATGCAGCCTTAAGTAATAAAAAATCTCGGTTCTTTGCTTTTGATAGCTAGTCTATTAAATCTTTGATGAGAAACAGGGGGAATGACATTTTGTAGATGAATTATGAAGTGCATGGACTAGTGCCTACAGCATGCTGTTATACATCATATTAATATTAAAATCCTGTCTATAAAGTAAGATTGGAAGGTAAATCACTTTCCTTTCAATTTGTGAAATGTTGATGTACAAGCTCCTTATCAAGATTTATGCCTATCTGTCTCTTCTTTCTATAACTTCCTCTTCTGGCACTTTTCACCTGACACTAAAGATTTTGTTGATTAGGCCTGAGGTTATTCATCCCTAGTCCTGGAGATAATGCTAGCTTTTATTTTAGTTACAAACAGAATGTGGGCTTTAGGAAGCACAAGTACCAAGTATAGAAAACATCACAAAGAGCTTTCAAGTAGCTGCAGCTCCTTCTTTCATGTACCCTTAATCACAATCTATATGAGTATTAGAACCTTGAACTAGTATTTTGCCAAGCATCTTGAGATCCTCAGCAAGATTCATAATCTTTACAAGAGAACATCCTATTTCATGAACAAAGTTTTCCACTACAGAACATGATGAAAAATTACTGTGCAATGAAAGAGCATCTCTAACAGCAGAGAGAGATTGGTATCAAAGGACCAAGCATTTTACCAGTCACACCCCATTCCATTCCTCTGTATCTTAGTAAATGCTACTGTCTTAGTGTTAAAAGGGTATATTATAAGGATAATTTCAGAAACAATAAAATAATGAAATAGGAGGAAATGTCTGAATATGTCTGAAAGTGTAACCCTTTTTGACTCTCAATGAGGAAGGAGCCTGTCAGAGACATAGTCTGGCACTCCACCAGTGACGGCCAAGATGTCTATGTTAACTGTGTAAAACTCATGTTTCCTCCTTTTTCAAGTATTCAGTTTATATCTCTGTGGGATTTAATTTATTTTCTTCTTTGATTTTAACATGCTGGATTTATTCAGATTTATTTATTTATATTTTATCAACTGATTTATTTCACTGCATTAGTTGTATGGATTGGCTTGAGATCCATAGCATACGCTTATTTATGAACACTGTGACTACCGTATTTTCCGGCGTATAAGACGACTTTCGCAAGCGTTAAAATCGGCGCCGAAGTCGGGGGTCGTCTTATACACTGGGTTGCCTTATACGCCAGAATATACGGTACTTATAATTACCTGCGCATTTAAGATTATTATCTATACTGTTAAATAATAATCTTATTCACAGTTCCATTGATCTCTTTTCCTCCCGCACTTTTCCTTCTGAGACAGGACTAAAATATTCTGTTTTGAAAAGCATTGCTTCTCTTAAGGCCAGTAAAGTTACTATCCTCACATGAAGACAGCAATTGCTGCTGTGGCTGGGTGCAGCAGCCGTACTCTGCAGCAAGCTCTCTGGTAAGAGGCTAACTCAACCTTGGCCCAGTATTTGAATCAGAGAATGAGAAGAATGGGCAAAGGGCCCTAGAATGTAACTTACGGCCTCTCAATCAAAATATCAGAAGGTGGACTCAGCACCAAGCAGTAGGCAACCTGCTCTTCCTTGTAGCATCACATTCATCTCTGCCCATGTGCAGACTACCCACACCCAGCTCCACTGCCACCATTACCTCCAATCTTTCCTTTCCCTTCTCCTCTGTGGGCAAATACAGCAGCCACCATTTTGGACAGTCAGTTAAACTGTGTGTGTTCTCCCCAGCTTCTGGGTGAGATTGGATTAATAGTACCTATCTCACTAAGAGAGTATAGCTTGGCTAGGGCTAAGAAACTACCCATTGTGGAGGACTCCATAAAGCCATTGGCCACTTTTCCAGCACTTCTTTGCTAGGAGCTTACCAATGGAAAAAAATGAAATTTGGTCTTCTACAAAGTCAATACTCCCTTCATTAAATAAGCTAAAAAATAAAGTAGTTTTGCTTTGGCTGCTCTCTCCATAGCTAAACAGAAATAGGCACAGAAGCATAAAGCCCAGCAGCTGGTTGGGATAAGATAACTCTCCAGTGGACCAATTAAAGCCCAACAGATTACTGACTCTGAATACTCTTCTTCCATATGCATTAGAATCCATCTGATTGAAAAGCAGTTTATGGCTGAAATAACGATGAATTATTATTCATATTTTAATTCATTAACCTTCCAGCCAAGCATTCCTATATATAAATAAGTGCTACTGAAAAATAATTACCGTAATTTCCGGCATATAAGACGACTTTCTAAACCATGCAAATCTTCTCCAAAGTCGGGGGTCGTCTTCTACGCCCAGTCGTCTTATACGCCAGAAAATACGGTATATATCCTGGCATAAGCAAACAAGATTTTCAAGGAATGGAGAATCTTATCTAAAATTACCAATAGAGCATTGTTATAGATTTCCCTTATCCAGACCAAATATAACAGCCAAAAATATCTGGAAGACACATTACCTTGTTTACCTGATACAGTTTTCTTTACTTCTTCACTGCTTACAAATGTGGAATTGGAAGTACTATCTTTTCTGGATAAACCTGTAAGCCAAACCAAACCTATGAAGCACCACAATCTAAGTAACACATCCAAAACATCTCTATATATATTCTCTGAACGTTTATAGATACAATTAAATATGTAAAGAAATAGTTATACAAATCCTCTATTTCCCTCTAAAGGATAATGGAATATTGAAAGCCTCAGTGGTAAACTCAGCTACAGGTACATGAAGCCCTTTCTTGCATTTCACAAGCCAATAAAATCAATATTATATCAACATGCCTTCTTCAATCTTCAGTTGAAGAGATCTCAGAGATACAGTAGCAACTAGACAATCCATGACCCTTGGGTAAACATTTCAGAGATATTTCCTTACCACATTCCTCAAAGCCTTCAAAAATGGCAGAGCTTCTAATATACTTGAAAGTTCTTAAAACGTCAAAGAGCCGAGGTGGCGCAGCAGTTAGAGTGCAGTACTGCAGGCCACTTTAGCTGACTGTGTTCAGAAGGTCAGCGGTTCAAATCTCACCGGCTCAAGGTTGACTCAGCCTTCCATCCTTCTGGGGTAGGTAAAATGAGGACCCAGATTGTTGGGGGCAATGTAAATATATATATATATACATTGCTTACTGGTGTACACCGCTTAGAGAGTGCTCGCACTTAAAGCGGTATATAAGTCTCATAAATAAATAAATAAATATTCAGAAAAATATCTGCCTTGAAAGTAGCTCATGTTGAACTGTATAGCCCAATCAAACATCAGAAGTTTATCACAGGAGATGTTTTAAGATACTTTTATTACGTTATAAACATTTTATGTTTTATAAAATTCGCCAAATTTCAATCCCATGGGAGTCATGTCCTGGCTTTTGGGCACATTCTATCAGTTAGCCCATTTGAGGTACCTTGGTTCAAAAACTGTTGCTCAATGATGCATTATATTGCCCAGTTAAAGGTTATGGGGACAAGTGTTTTAATAGTTTATAAATAGATGTGTCTGCTTTTAAATAAACTATAGGAGATTTTAAGCAAAGCTCTTTCACATTATATCAATTGTAATCTGTTATTTATATAAGCTAGCACTAAACACATTTGAAAATATCCAAGCCTATTTTTTAAACACCATAAGCAATTATTTGCCAAAAGAATATAGCCTAATAAGTATACAACCTTCCATGCAAACAAAACAACAATGCAATATTTCATTTAGCTCTAAAAATGTTTGAATATTGATTGAATATTAATAACATGCTTTAAACTTTTAAAAGAAAATACAAATTCCAGAAAAAGAATCCAGAACACACACAAAAAAGATCAGAGTTATTGCCCAGTGTATTAAGCACCTATTTTGCATTAAAAGTTTTGAGCTTTAGGACTGGGAAAGATTCTTATCTAAATCCTAAGACAGCTACAGATGGGTAATGTCTGTTAAATATGCTAAGGCAGCAAAACAATTAAAATAGGAGAAAATACACATTAGTCCTGATTATCAATGCATGTTGGGTTTATTCCTAATTAATCTTTGTCAGCCTAACATTATAATACCTTTTATTGCTTAAGTCTCTGAAAACAAAGGCTGCCTACAAACCATGAATTTTGATTTTGGGCTGGAAATTGTTACGCTTCCTGAAATGTTCTTTTACTTCAAAGTAAAGTGTCCCCATGCTTACCAGAATTCACTTTAGAGGTTATGTGGGTTACATCAATTTTCTTGGATTTGATTATAGGCAAAGGTCGTGAGGAAGACGCTTTTGTACTTTTTTTGTGTCCAGAAATCTTACTTATTTTAGAGAGTGGTGCAAAGATACCTGGCAGAAAAGATACATGATAAGGTACAATCCTTTTTTTTTAAAGAGGCTCGTACAGCACATTCAAAAAAACTAGAAGCTTTCATGTGTGAAGAAAACTTAAAAGCAACATAAGGCAATATGCAATCAAACAAAACACTGCAAGTGGTCTTCCGCTTATGACCACAATTGAGATTGGAATTTCCATCTCCAAACAATGTGGTGGTAAAGCAAGACAACCTGTGGCTCCATCACTTAGCGATGGCAATCCCAACACTCCCCGATACCATTGTTACCAGTGGTTCTTGCCTATCTCCCCCATCTCTGCCCTTCAGACTGCCCTGTATCCTACCTAGTGGGATGGCAAGCAGCCCCAGAAATGCACTGCTCTGGGGACTGCTTACCATGCTGCTGTAGTTCTGGGCTGCAAGAAGCCCCTGAGCCACAGCACCGTGCAAACCTTCAGCTGCCCCAGCCCGGACCAACAGTATGGTACCAAGATGCAGCACTTGGGAAGCCCCAGCAAGCATTCATTCACCCAGTTGCCTTCTCTCCAGTTCCCCACAGCAAGCTTTCATCTTCTGCATTCAGCTGTTGTGAGGCTGGGAGCCACATGTAGAAAGAGCCAAACCCTGGTGCCTTCCCATTGGGGGAAACTATTTCCAGCCTTCCCCATTGGCTGGCATTCTAATTTGCACTGCACTGCTGGATTGGGCTTTGAGGGTGGGGGAAGGGGATGTTTAGAAGCATTTGCTGGAGAAGCTGGAGCACCTGGGGTAGCACAGTGGCTGCAAGTCCGAAAAAAGACAGCAAAGGCAGCAAGGCACTTGTACTTGAGCTGCAGCTGGGTGCAAAAAGTGAAAGGTCAGTGTGGGGAACTGGGAAAGAAGGCTGTTGGGCAAACGAACGCTTGCTGGCCCTTGCCAGTCACTGGAGATTGTTGCACCACTTGCTGGTGGTTGCTGGGAGCGGTTGCAACTTTGTGCTGTGCTACAGCTCAGGGGATTCTTGCAGCCCCAGAGCCACAGCACGCCAAAAAGCCTCTGAACCACACCAGTTCTGTGGCTGCTTGCCACTTCCCAAGGCAAGGTGTAGGCAAATACAGCAATGTATTAAACATCAATTTTAGATACTCTACATAAATTTGGGCATATCACAAGTAACCAAAGTACACAGCAGTACTGAAAATAGGAATAAGAAATATCAATATAAAATACAACATTAGCATGCAGAGTAAACAAATATCAATAACTACTAAAGTACTTATTTGGATAATTTTCACTAGTAGACTCATATATTAGACAAATGAAAAAATGGGAGAGATGTGAGAGAAATATGAAGAAATTTAAAAATTAAAAGCAATACCATGTTTTGGAGTACACTTGAAGTACTGCACTCTTCCAACAGTACCGTTGTTTTTGCCATCAGGTTCATCCAATTCTATACCAGCCCACTGCCCGCTGGCAAATTCTGTCATGCCACAAAATCGTAATGTGCCAACCTGGAAAAGATATAGATATATTCAACTATGTTGAAAGAAAGTTGAATGTGACAACAGAATATTATGTTCTGAAATTATTCCAATTCAAAGAAAAAACTGAAACACAGAATGTGTTTATTCTTCATGGTTCTTCATGCCAACTGAAGACTATGGGTAGAGAAGCAGTTCCAATCTTTATATATAAAGTATTATATATGAGCATTTCAGCACATCTCATTGATAGAACAGGTTTTCTTTTGAACAGGAGAAACTTCTTGAAAGGAAGTGCAGCTTGACAATGAAACCATCACCCGGAGGGATGATAGGGTTTTACATTTTATTTTACTTTGCTTTGTTTTTTCAGCAGTCCTTAAGCACCGACTAGAAATTCCCATGGGAATTTTTTATATTTTTTTTTACATTTTATGTCTTACATTTTATACAACTGTACTATGACATTTTATTTTATTACAGCTCTAAGAACAGAAGTTTCTTCCCATATTCTCTTGTTTTACTCATGGCTAATTTGGGATTTAGAAAAGGAGAAGTGCACCTTCATATCTTCTTCCTTCTTGTCCCTCTATTCTTTAATTTCCTTCTCTGCTCTTTCACTGTTAGTCCAAGGCATGCTCACCAAAATGTTCCCTCTGCCTTTGTTTCTATGTCTTCCACCCCCTGCTTGCATGGTCCTCTTGATTTTAAAGCTTACCTACATCCAAGAAATACATTTAAAGCTTGTATCAAAATGCTATAAAGAGAAAAAGAGGCAAAAGAGTTGTCCCTGTGCTGCTCTTCTCCCAATTCCAAAATTTAAAATGAAGGACCCTTCTCTTTGCCCTGCCTGCAAGTGCTGCTAATATTTCTTAAGAAAAGCCTTCAAGTGGGAATTTCTCCATGCTCCATTTCCTTCAACCAGGAGCTCTTCCACCAATAGCAACTTGCATCTTTCATTTTAAAGCCTGAGTGAGTGATGATCCATCCTCTTGAAGGCTATAATTACCAGGCTATAAAGGCCTTTGGAACAGCAAGTGAAGAATCTTATCCAGGCCCAAAGCAGGTGGTTGATTGACTTCTGCAGAACTGACAGTGCAATGTGTGGAAAGCCTCTTTGAGTCAGAATGTGGTTAAATGTCATTTATATTTCCTCCTCTGCTGCTTAGTTTTATGAATCTGAAATAGTCTTCTCCTAATGGCATAGAAGGGAGGAGGACCCCAACTAAGGGCTATTATAGGTGCAGGGAAATGGAGCTCTTGGAATTAACAACAAAGGAAAAGAATTAAACACCTGACTCCCTTTTTACAGGGCTGGTGGTTTTCCTCCGTTCCGACAAAGTATGGTAACCATACTGCCCATCCTCTGGCCTGCAGGTGCAATTCTTAAATGGTGGATCAGTGAATAAGATCTCTCTCATCGATTATTTAATTATGAATAAGGTTCAATTTGGTTTGTACCACTTTAACTTGGATCAGACAGCTGTTGTGTATGTGTATGGGATAGTCTCGGTGCCTTCCTTATGGCAGCACCAAAACAGATCAGAGATGAGAAGAGGGAATAATTAAAGGATAAAGAAATGTTCTTTATCCTTTCATCCATGCCAGTCTACAGTGTTTGACTGAATATCATTCACTAAATATAGTACAGGAATTGTGTCAGAGAACCACCCACGTTACTACTCAGCACTCTCCCCAACTAAGCTGACAGATGGTTTTGGACTTGATCTTAAGGATTTCCAGAATAACAATTCTGAAGGAATTCATTATCCAGGGCAACCATGATTGCAGCCCTTCAAGATTTTGTGATAGCCATAACGAACTGCCCAACTTATTACTCAGGTAATAGATGCTCAGATAGGACAATAGTCTGAACCAGGGGAATTTAAATCTGTTTCTTGTCACAGTGAGAATATTTCTAATTTATACTTGCAATAACTTCCTTTCTGCAGAGCTGAAGTACTAATTAGAATTATCCAAACTGAAAAATAATGGTTGATGATGGATTCTATAAAAGCGTAGAATAGTGATGGATGCTCTTTGTAAAACCTTAGTTAACCCTTTGGTTAATATGACCTGGATAGTTCACATGATCACTTCTGGATATCCTCTACCATTATGCAGCACCCCGTTTAGGTTTTACACATTCCAGCTGAAGACAATGAAACAAGTGGAAGACAACTAGAACCCAGATGACAGAAAACTAATATTAAATTTGATCCAATACCGATCATGTCTTTAATGGCAATGATGAAGAAACAATATTTTCTCCACTACTAAGTCATCTCAATGATGTTCCATTAGAGCTTTTCTAAATGATTCAGAGTCCTCTGGAATCTGGTTCAGAACAAGCTGATATGTGGAGAAAAAAATGTATTTGACATGAAGTCTTAAATCTGAACTAGAGACACAAGTATCCTCAGTGGAATGAAACGTCTTATTACTTGAGATTGTGCACCCACCTACTTGGACAGAGCTTGCTATCTCAGTCCAGGTCCTGGTAATTTGTTGGTTTGATTATTTGAATGCATTCATACATGTAACTGTCCTTGAAGACAGTTCAGGAACTTCAGTTAATTACTGCAGTGAGAGTACTGACTGGATTTAAGTATAATGAATATAGTATGCCAACTGTATACAATCTTCATTGGCTCTCAATTTCATTTTTAATTCTAGAAAGCCCTTCACTTAAAAAGTCTTACAGAGCTTGCAATTACAGTAATTGAAATCATGTCTCTTCCAGCTTTTTTTTATATCTTAATTATCATACTTAGTTTTATAGACAGAAATTCAGGATATAGACAGACTAAATAAATAAATACAGAGGATTGGTAAGCGGGACTCAGAAATTGGCTTTTTCCATGGTTCTTGCCAACTCTGGGTTACCTTCCCTAGGCATGGAACCAATATTATTGTCTCCTCAGCAACCAAGAAAGATGTTTTTACTCTCCCACATTTAATGAATTAATATTTTAATATTAAATATGTATAACAAATAAACACTTTGCTCTGTTGTTTTTAATTGTCTTAGTGTTTATATTATCATGCCTTTTATTATTATACTTTTGTGCAGTTTAATTACTATATCAAACTTTAATTGCATGATTTAAATGTGTTACAAGTCACCTTGAAAAAATGATTTTGAAAGTTAACATACATATTTTTCAAAACAAATAAACAAAAAGTTGATCTCTTCCAGTTTTATGACCTTATAACTAAATGCATCCACTATCTAAAAGTATAATTCTTTTAGATTTGAAGCAAACGTTAAAATTCTCAAAATACTAACTTTGGCTCAAATAACTATATCGCCTTAATAAAACATATTTTATGTTGTATTTTAACATCCAAACTTCCAATTTCAGATTATTTGTTGGTCACTATTATTACTATCAAACATGCTGGATTATAATATAACATTTAACCAAGACATCCTATTATCTGATTTACAAAAAAGAAACTTTAATTTAGCTTGTTTCAAAAATTTTATTGGAACCATTGTGTTTTGCCCTTTACACTTTATTAAAAGCTAAGAATTAATTTGAGCAGTGTCTAGTAATAGCAACTAGGGTAGCTATGCTACACCTAATCTTCTAACAAAACAGAAATGTGACAGTTCTATGAAGTTTCAAATACTGAATTTCTGTTCATAATGTTGTTTGCTTTCCAAAGTATCTTTGTAACAGATAGAATTCTTTTTAAAGGTAATCAAGCACAATTTACATTTTAATTAGAAATTAAAAATAATACAATTAATAGAAGCAACATATGGATCAATAAAGTTTGCAAAATTTATTTTAAAGTCCAAAGTATAGTGTAGTTTTATGAGACTGACAATCAACCTGATTCTATGTTTGCTAGTTCAGGACAGAGAACAGGTGTATATTCCTCAGGTGGACAAGGATAACATAATTTTTATATACTGTATCTAAGTGAGCCAGGTACAGCTCTCCTTAAAAAATTAAATGTTACTAGCTGATGTGACAAGAGCTACCGGGAGAATAATTCAGCTTGTTGTGATTAAAAGCTCTACATACAAACCCAGAAACATTTTCAATCCAGTTAATTTTTGATTCACAATTTGCTTATCAAAACATACCTTCTGTCCTGCAATGACAACTCGATCTCCCAGTTTTAGGCCAAGTAATTCAAGCATGTCTTTTCCAGTGACATTATCATAATTTGGAAGCATTATATTGGAAAGGTCACAAACCAGAGGTACTGCATCTAAAAGTATCTGTTTGATTTCTTTAGCGCTGGCTGCTGCATCAGCCATTTCCAATGGCATATCTACTGGATCAGGAACCACATCAGCAGGTGTCTGCCCTTTGTCATTCTGTGGAACAATAATCATCAAAACAAGGGAGTAAATTCAGGCACAGTATTAATCCAAATTAAAACAGAGTTATTAACAACTATTAAATAATAATCATAAAACACAACTGCTCAGATAGATCCTAAACCTCCATTGTCAGGATTAACAAATTTCAAATAATTTACAAAAAAATCTAAAGATACACAGAAGTACAAATATAATTTACACATATTTTTTTCTTCATTTTTAACACATTTCCAATATAAAACTAAGCAAAGCATTTCTAAACAATTATTATAATTCAGATTCAGTCAGATAAAACAAATATTTGATAAAATTGATATCTTACCCTAAAAGCAGGGTTAGCACCATGTTCCAATAGACACTTTACAGCTCGAGTACATAGGTTGAAGGCAGCAATATGCAAGGCAGTTCCAAAATCAAAGTCACTGCAGGTGGCATCAATATCTACAATTAAGAACCAAGTTGATATGTGGATGTATCAATGCTGTTTTATCCTGAATGACATACTATGGGTAAAAACAATTACTAAACAGACATTAAATATAGCCAATAGAATTCAAAATCAAAACAGAGAAGTCAAATAGTCAGTCACACACTAAACAAACCCAAAGGTATTTGTTTATTTATTAAATTTATATGTACCTATTTTTCCCAAATTGACTTTTTAGCAATAACAGAGAAAACATAAATTTGCTTGAATACAATTCATGTGTCAGATCAATAAATACCAACTTTAAAACTATCTAAAAATACTGGAACCAGAGAGGCTGGGATAGAGAATTCAACACCAGCAATAGCAAGAAAAATTCCTCTCAAGCAAGCAAGAAAAACAGGAAAAGAAAGGTCAAGTTGAAGGGGGAAATTTAGCAGAATCTTTGAAGGAAGGAAGTCCTGTTAAACTCTATCTCCCTTCCCATTGCTATTTTTCTAAAAGCAGAGGAAGAATTGATCCTTAAAAATGCCTGAGAACTATTTATTGGCCCTGTTCCCACATCAAGTTTAATTAGGCCAGGGAATAAGTATCAAGAGGCTGAAAAATTAACACATCAGACAAGAAATTGAAAAAAATCACAGAATCAATTGAATTCCTTACTCTATACAGGAATCCAAATTCAAGCATCCCTCACAAGTAGATGGAAGTGTAGGCTCTACCAAAACCAATGGAGGGGAGCTCACTACATCTCAGGGTAATTGCTTCTATTGTCAAATTGTTCTTCCTTTAGAAAACTTTCCTTTCAACTGGAAATTGCTTTCTTGGAATTAAAAATCTATTATCCATGCCTTGTCTCTAGGTATGGCAGCAAATAGGTCTTAGAGTTCATCAACCGGACATCTATACTTTTATTTGATAAACGGCATATTTCTTAGTCTAATTTTCAAATTAAATATATCCATCTATTTAATTGTTATCCCATTCAGCATATTCTCAGCTGGCTGGCAATCAGACTGTCATAGAACACTTTGTCAAATGATTTAAATAATCAATATTTATTATAACTACAGCACTATTATGGAAATAAAGAGGGGTTAATTGACAATCAGGTTGATTTCTAATAATCATATTTTCCAATATTTTATTTTGATTGTTTTATTCATATTTGCTTTTTAATTATGCCAAAACAGCTCTTATTACATTGCTTGCATTTATACAGATTTGTGGGGAATGGAAATATTGCATATGAACATTTAACTTTTTTTAAAAAAATGCCTCTCATAAAATATTAAAAATATATCTTTTGCTTTCCCGTTTTTAGTGTTAATGATTTGTTCATCACTGTATATTTATGTATATTTTAAAAGATTGGTCTACATGTGACTTAACATTGCCCTGGGAATAATCAGTATTTCAATTATTTGTACCTATTATATCTGTACAGAGCATTAGATTTTTTTACAAAGTGCATTGATATGAGAGAAGCACTCCTCCTTAAAGCTTCAAATCAGTTGTGAACTCCAGAAAATTAGGCAGAGGTACTTTGAAATCTTTCTCCAGTTGTATCCTTGTGCATATTTATATTTTTTCAAGTTCACATTGGTCAATCCACACGAAGTGTTATCTGTGCATGCATAGGCTGATGGTTTAAATTCACTATCTTTTATTTAAAGGCAGATACAAATTATTTTCTGATTGTTTAAACAATTTAACTCTGGAAACCTATGAAGTATCCAAAGGAAGCTCTCAGTTGCACATGTACCCTATTTAAAGACAGAATGAACAAGGATAAAAGGGAGCAAAGCTAGCTTAATAAATCATGGGTAAAACTAAACCTACATTTGAAACAACTGAAAGAAGGCAATATTTAGGATGAATCTGTACAATGCAGCAACTGCAGAATTATAATTATTAAATTTCTAATATGGGTGAGTAATTTATTTTGCTTCTGCCACTAGCCAACTTCCAACTTTGCAATATTTGAGATTGCAAAACAAGAATATGGCAAAGGAATCCAAGGATTATTTCTCTATATTTGCAAATGTCAATTCTCACGTCTACAACCTGCCTTCCAAGCTACATGCCATTATAAAAGCATTTTTTAAAAATGCAAAACATCTGAATAAACTTTAATCTGATATTTACCAGACATTCTGCATAGTTAAAACTGATAAATGTGTAAGGAAACTAGAGGTGGTTCTTGACTTATGACCACAATTGAGCCCAAACTTTCCATTGATAAGCAAGTTCCATTGATAAGTTAAGTTAGTTTTGCCCCATTTTACAATCTTTCTTGCCAAAGTTGTTAAGTGAATCACTGCAGGTGTTAAGTTAGTAATTTGATTGTTAAATGAATCTGGCTTCCCCACTGACTTTGTTGGAGGGTTGCAAAACGTGATCACATGGCCCTGGGACACTGTAACTATCATAAATACATGCCAGTTGCCATATGTCTGAATTTTGATCGCATGACCATGGGGTTGCTGCAACAGCTGTGTAAAAAATGGTCATAAGTAACTTTTTTCAGTGCTGTTATAACTTCAAACAGTCACTAAATGAATGGCTATAAATTGAGGACTACCTGTATAAGCACTCTAGCTTTCTGGATCAACTTGATTCCAACAAATGAATGCCAAAGGTTTGAGTAGAAAAAAGAAATGCTACTCCACAAACTTTACTGCATTCTATTTGTAGATACAATTTTTGGATTAATTCAAATGAATGCCAGGAGCCAAAGAAAACAGATTGTTAAAATTTCTTCCAGATTTTATTGTCGTTTGTTAATTTTTTGGGAAACCAAATAAGTACATTTCTCTTTCAATGTTATATAAATATGTCTCCTTTTCGTTAGACAAAAGAAAAATATGTGGAATAAGGTCAGAAAATCATTTAGCATCAAAGAAAACACTAACGGTTATTGACAGTCCTCATGGCTGTTATGTAACCACCATATTGTTTCAAAATGCTCACATTGGTTAAGCACTTGCTCAAAGCCATCCTCTATGAACCAATACTCCCTGTATGTAAACATGCAGGCTTCATTAAAAAAAAACACAAATTAATCTTATCATGCACCATGAATGGTTGCGTAGGTAGGATATTCAGCAGTCTAGGTTCACAGGGAATACTCTTTCATGTGATTGCCACATTGTAACTTATTTACACTCTCTGCCTCTTACAATATGGCTAATCTTATGCTGTCGACTGATTAGATCTAATGATGATCTAAAGATCTAATGGTTTGCTGGAGAAGTGAAGGGCTCACTCCTTATCATCTACATCACCAAAAAAATAAATGTGCTACAAGAAACTGGTAATATAAATCATTGCACTATTGAAGAGGAGAACGTGGATTTATCAGTGTGCTAGAAATTCTGAGAAATTTTGAAGGAGAAAATTACATTTGGGAAGAAAAGAAAGAGAAATAAAAAAGCAGAAATGAGTAGCTTGTTCCATCTTTTCTAATTCACACTGCTTCAAGCTGAAATTAAGGCTGCATTAACAGAGGGATAGAATCAAGATCATGTGAAGTGTTAATACCACTTTACAGTGCCTTGGTAAGGCCACACTTGGAATACTGCATCCAGTTTTGGTCACCGTGATGTAAAAAAGATGTTGAGACTCTAAAAAGAGTACAGAAAAGAGCAACAAAGATGATTAGAGGACTGGAGGCTAAAACATATAAGGAACGGCTGCTGGAATTGGGTATGTCTAGTTTAAAGAAGAGAAGGACAAGGGGGGACATAATAGCAGTGTTCCAATGTCTCAGGGGCTGCCAGAAAGAAGAGGGAGTCAAGCTATTTTCCAAAGCGCCTGAAGGCAGGACAAGAAGCAACGTGTAGAAACTAATCAAGGAGAGAAGCAACCTAGAACTAAGGAGAAACTTCCTGACAGTTAGAACAATTAACCAGTGGAACAACCTGCCTCCAGAAGCGGTGAATGCTCCAACACTGGAAGTTTTTAAGAAGAGACTGGACAGCCATTTGTCCTAAATGGTATAGGGTTTCCTGCCTGAGCAGGGGGTTGGACTAGATGACCTCCAAGGTACCTTCCAACTTTACTATTATTATTATTATTGTTGTTGTTGTTGTTATTATTAAACTTTATAGAGCATAAACATAAAAATGGCCATCTCGAGGAAGGGGAGATGAGTTGTCATGTGTTATTAAGAAAACAAAGATGGTACAATTTTCCAAATAATAATAATATATTACACATAATAATTAAATCCATCTCAAATTCCCTCTGAAGAATCTGCATCAGAGGAAGACCACATATTATCTTCCATGTTTTCTAACTAATAAATGTTCAGAGGCATACCTACAATGCAATATATATGTATAACACAAAAATTCAAGTATATGGTAATTCAAAGTTTCCATTAAAATAATTGCAATTGATCTGGAATTTTAGGTACTGACAGAGTAAACAGAAATTCAAAACTTCAGTATGGAAAAAGTGTATGCATTTTATAGGTACTGATAATATCTATATTATATAATTTCTAATATTTATTTCCATACTTATTGTGGGACATACTGTATATCTTAGAGTTAAATTACTTCACTTTTAAAAGATCGTTATAGATATATTAGTAACATTAGGTGAACATGATGATGATAAATATCACTGAAATGGCTGGCTGTCTAAACGTTGTAGGGGCAAAACATATCTCCTTCTCTTTCTACACCCTCCAATTGCTAGCAACAGCATAGATGGAAACCATGAAGATAAGCATGTGTGCCTATTTGGGGTCTTTAGCCAACATTGTTATCACATTACAATATGTATCTTTGTCCAAGTTTTTAAATTGTCTTCATATTCAGGGCAACTTCAATTTGGGAATAGTCTTACTGATATCTATATCTTTATCTATTGGCAAATAAATAAAGATTTACCTTTTGGTTTTGCATTTTTCAAAATGATACTAATGAGTTCTGGAACATCAAAATAGGCAGCATAGTGCAGAGCATTCATATTTGTCCAGCGACTCCTCGAACTGATATCTGCACCCAACTCAATAAGCTGGGAGGCAAATTTTGCTGCTGTTTTCACGTCCCCTGCAAAGTAGATAGTTTGAAAACATAGCTTATATGTAGTTTAGTGGGTTCTTGATAGATTTTCACAACATACTAGATAACAGAAGACTATGTCCAAAAAACATTGGCAAGTTTCCATACAGCCAATCCTTACAAGATGTTTCCTTACTAGAGTTTGAAGGTTAGTCAAACTATAACTACATCAACAATGAAGAAAAAAATCAGGAAAGTTTCCTAGTACTTTTTATATCAGCCTTTTTCTCTGGATGTCTAGGGCAATAGCTTCCTCAATTCTAAATATCTATAGCCAATGACTGGAGTTGGTGAAAACTGCTATCTCAACTCATCTGGAAAATATCAAATTGGGCAAACTTGTTCCACAAATACATGCAGCAAAAAATGCTTGGGTTTTGTCTTATTTTCTGTAGAAAAATATATTTTATGATACACTATGCAACTTCCAGTGTCTGGATTTGAATTAAATTGTCTTGATTTGTTTCTGTTTTAGGACAGCAGAAACACTGCAGGATCCTCTGCATCTCATACAAGAGGAATACTGTATATTCCGGCGTATAAGGCGACCCGGAGTATAAGATGACCCCCGTCTTCGGCGCCGAGTCACATGCCTAGAAAGTCGTCTTATATGCCGGAAACTACCGTTATTTCCGGCGTATAAGACAACTCGGCATATAAGATGACCCCCGACTTCAGCGCCAATTTTAAAGCTTGCGAAAGTCATCTTATACGCCGGAAAGTACGGTAGATGTTCAAGTAACATTAGTTCCTTCCTTGCACAGATGCTGGAACAACAGTTGTAGTAGTAGTAGTAGTAGTAGTAGTAGTAGAATGATAATAATGACAATGATGATGATGGTGGCGTACACATCACTTGTTACTATTCTAGGTCATGATGACAGAGAGCTAATGAATAACTAACCAATGGTACAGTGGGTCCCATAATCAATACGGCAATGCTAAAAGACATCTGACCAGATTATTAGTGAACTTATACCTATGGTATGACTTCAGTGGAATAAAACCATTGTTTTCTTTTATACATAACAATTAGGACTAAAACTATTTAATTCAACTGTTAAATTATTTTACATTATTTCATCTGCACCATGTACTAACATGTAATTCTATTTTTTCCTAGGATTTTCAAATGATAAAATGTGAAGTTTCTGTCTGTTTCCACCCCATTAATTTTAAATTGTTGCTGTATAGGAGGTCACAAGGCCACAGAACAATGGGAAAATAAAAAAGGTAATGTGATTATTTCAGTTTACCAACAATTCCATTTAGAAAGTTTGGAGAGAAAGGGCAGCATACAAATTCTGTGGTTACAGTATAGTAAATATGGCCACATCTCCATGAATTTTAAAGCGCTGTTTGAGGTATCAGAACAACCTAATTTATCATCTATACAAAGATTTATAGGAAACTATCCAGTGATGTTGTGATGTTACTTTAGCCAGTTGGAAGGGGGGTTCAGAAATTAAGTACAGTGATTTTTGGAGTGTTGGGGAAAATATGTGGCTTGTGAAGATAGGGAAATTGCTGCAGATGATCCAAACTGTTTAAATTGGTAGAATTTTGGACACAGGGGGATATGGAATTTGCAATATTAGAATATTACAGGTAAATGATTTGAAGAGAAATGACACCATTCCTCTCTATATTGGCATAAACAATATACCTGGAGAAAGATAGGAAAGACAACTACTATTCCTGCTGTAAAAACTAGCCACAGAAAATTTCCAATTCCTTTTCTTACCAATTCCATGAGCTCCTGACTTGCAAGTATAGTGCAAGAGAGTCATGTCAGTCAAGTCATCTCTGTCATTCACATTACAGCCTCTCTTAATGATCTGTTGATTAAAAAAAAAAGATCATTTATGATTCTGATGAAGCAACTTTTATTTCCTGGAAGTTAAAATATATATCACTCTCATAGTGATACCTAATAACAAATTATTTTTACTACCAAAGCAATTAGCTGATACATTTCACAGCAACGACATAAATATCTGGGTTCATGTGATTACCAATTTGCATTTCATCAGTTCACTCAGTAATACAGAGCTACTTAAATAAAAAAACTTGTCAAACCATGTAAACCCCAAAAGATATGTAGCCCTTAATGCACTTTTTATGGAGGATTCTGTTCTTAGCAAATCATTAAAAAGTTACTTAATAAGGATGCAGATGTAAAGACACATTTGCTAATATTGATTCTAAACAAAAATTTAACAGATATTTCCATATATTAAGTGAGGGCATAAAATAAAAATTAATAAGATTCATAGATAAATCCAGGAAATTAATAAATGTCTCACCTCATTTCCTATCACATCAATGTTTTGCTGAACTTGGGGAACCCATTGTCTTAAGATAGCAAATAATTCAGATACAGAAGTTTTGGGGTTGAAAAGAATTTCCCGACATGCTGCATCATTTGGATCGAAAAAGGAGAACTCTACAGAAATGAAAGAAAGATTTAGCTGCGAAAAATATTCAGATAGATTTTAAAAACCTTTTTTAGTCAAGTTTCATACATCCTAACCAACCTTCCCCATCCTAAAGCATCTGGACAACCCACAATTGGAAAATAGTTTACTATGTGATCAGTAAGGGACTCTCTAATTTGATAAGGTATTGAATATTCCATATAGGGTATTTTTTTACAATTTTCACGTTTCAATGTTTTATGATATATTTAGATGTGGCAGTTCTCATACCCTATTTTCCTACAGAAAATCTTCATTCTTAGCCCAGAAAGGAGTAACACATTTTATTTAACAAGACAGAGATGGCACTGAAAGTGGATCTACAAATGGCTATGAGAATAATATGAAATAGGATGTTTTGCTGTATATACACAAGAAATGAGTTGATATTTAAAAATCAAAAGGGAAATACAAATAATAAACCAAGAAGGTGGGTTTTTTATATTGGATTTACATAAAAAGCTTAATTAAAGCTTTGAAAAATCTTGTCAGAAGGAAAAAAGAAGAAATGAAAAAAGAGCAAATTCTATGGTATTTCAATAGACTAAAGATTAAGACTGTTAAAACTAAAACCAAGGAATATAAACTTGGTTTATTTGATCAAGGTTAAAATAAGTTGTTATTTTCAGTAATTCTTAATGGACTTTTTGCTGGAAACATTATGCTTAATGGACTTCTCTATAAATAAGAGATGGGATATTGGATGAAGAGATCATTGGTTGTAAACTAAGAGGGGGTGAAGAGTTATGAAAATAGATTATGTTTATTATGATGAAGATTGAAAGTCATTTAATATATATATTGCTTTTCTCTTTCTCTGCTATATATTTTTTTCTTTTTACTTTCCGTTTTTTCTTTTTCTTTGCACTGTTTACTTTCTATTCTACTTTCTTTTAGTTTCATTAAATTTTACCACTGCAATTAAAATTCTTAACACAAATTATATATACATAAAAATCATTAAGAAGTATAAGATTAAATGCATGCACTAGAATTTTCCTGGAAATGCCTACTATATTTTTTATATTTTTTATATAGTTTTATATTTATTTTATATTTATTTTGATATTCTCTAGGCTGCTGCCACCTGGATCTGAGGCCAGGGGATGCTTCCATGGCCCTCCGGAGGCCCATTTCCGGATTGCAGTGGCCTGGAGAAGGCTTCTGGTGCCCAGATTGGACCACCGGACAGCCAAAGAAGTGTCCCCCGGTCTCAGATCTGGGCAACAGCAGAAACGTGGCAGAGAGAAGATGGATCTTTTCAAGATGAGTCTGGCACAGCAGGAAGAGAGGGGGAAGCATGAGGTATCTCAGTGGTCAGGGAAGCCTTGGGGGCCTGTTCCATCACTAGGCCCTCCATGGCCTTCCCCACCCTGAGATAACTCATGAGCTGCGTGTGTCTTAACAAGCAAGGGAGTGATCTGGTTCGAGGTACGAGATTCACTCCCATGAGTTTTCAAGTTATGAATGGAATGGGCAGGCTCCATTACACTCGTAACTCGAGGACTACCTGTAATTCTAATCTGTCAGAAGATCATCTGTATTATCTATTAGATCTTTTGAGTAAGTTTATAATCAGAAGCAGGTGCTTCTAACAGTCTAAAGCTGTGCATACATTGGTCTTCACTAAAACTATATTTTAATCACTCCTATTCTTAAGATTATTAAGCAAGCGGCTACAATTCATTTTGTTCTTTCTTAATTTTTCAATTTCATTCATATGTTCAGTTTAACAAATATGTTGTTATATATTAACATTTTATTTAATGTTATATTAAATTTTACATCTTATTTATTGAGCTATTTATTTAATTGCAATAGGATTTAATTAATTACAATACATACAAATTGAATTAATTTGTTTTTGTGAGAGTTTATTACCTAATAAAACTTGGTATTTGCCTGCTTGCTTCTAGACTTGCACCAAGAAAAGATGTTCAAAGTGGAAAGAAGTTCTAATATATTACACAATATCAGTTTTTTTCACATGACTAGCATGCAAAATATTGTATAATGGTTTCCATGTCACTTGCACAAATATTTCACATAGAACTCAAAATTGCACTTGATGCCCTGGTAGGAAAACAACTTTATATATTTCATACTAAAGTACTTTGTTTTCTGTTGGGAACAAAATGATTTTCCAAGATGTGCGTTACGCATTGTTTATATAATAAAGCTATTCTCTGAGAAAGATAATTCACTACATCTAGCATACAGCACATTTTAAGAAAACAATTATAATATTTTCCAAGAGAATGTTGATTAGAGCATAAAGTTTGTCACTTTATTTTAAGTTCTGAGCATCCCTTTGGAATCAATCTCTACTCATTCAATATTTTGAAAACAGCTCCCTCCTCCTATAAATAGTCTTACCATATTCTGAAGGCATTGGTGCAGCAGAGACTGAATGGGTAATTGAATCTTCGGAGCCTGAGATAAAAAACTGGTATCTTCTACTCAATGAAACACCTTCTTCAGAAGGGTCAGGAAGATCCTCTATGGTCATCTTTTAGAAAACCACCTTTGGCTAAAAAGGATTTTTTCAAAAAATATCTCATCAATTGACCAATGACTCTAAGTATTATTTGCTCATGTAATTCATATTTCTATTACCAAAAATACTAATAGTTAAGAGATTCCAAATATTTTGAGCATCATGTGAATTCATAAGCTGTTGCATCATAAATCATTTCATCATTCCTAAATATTAGTATTTTATCACAAGGTTTGAGATGAAACTAGAAGGCAGAATAAAATCTTACTTAGGAAGGCATTATTAGCTGACAATATGGTATAGGGTTAGCAGGGCTCCTTATCTAAATCGAAGTATAATATTACATATGGTCTTAAGTCTAAAAATTATTTTCCTGAAATTTTCTGGATAAAATTTGGTCCTCACATTGCTTAAAAATCATGGAGTATATAGCCAAGAACACACTTGCTACAAACAAAAAGTTACAAGAGACATGTGATTAAATACCGGTATCCATTCTCTGAAGATCTTGATTTTTTTGTTTACATATTCTTTTTCTTTTAATAGTTCTTTTTTTTTATTGAAAATTTTTGCAATTTTACAATAAAATCCCTCTCCCACTACCTCCCTACCCTCCCAAAAACCCTCCCCCCCTCTTCCCAGAGCTGAATGCAGGGCTAGCTAGAACTAAAAATACAAAACATTTAAACTTAAGTAAACCTCAAACAAAAATTACATTAAAAAAAGTCCAATAATATGTGTATGTATATGTATGTATATATATATGTATGTATGTATGTATGTGTGTGTGTGTGTATATATATATATATATATATATATATATATATATATATATATATATATATATATGCTGGAAAATTTGCATAAAAATACGACTCCTGGGCATGTCTATGGTACAAATAAAATACGAACACCAGGAGAGTATAAATATAAAAATATACTTTACTAAAAGCTGCCAAGCTTTCGTTTGGAAACTCCAAACATCATCAGGGCTAAGGAGCCAGTAAACAATGATGACTTAAATGGGTTTTGCCGGCATCTGCACCCGGCTCATGGACCGCGTCACCGGTCCCGGCCGGTTAATTAGTGTTCCAGATGTTTCTTTATTACTCTCCTTACGCTTCCTTCTATGGTTCTTCCGGATCATTCCTTCCACTATCTCATTACTGGTATTCATCTCCTCCACCACCCCTTTATCCTTATTTCCTTCCATAGCACTGACCCTCCTCCCCTTTTTGTTTTCATTCTCCACCCTGGGGGCATCTGTTTCTCCTCTATCAGTGTTACAAGCTTCCCTGGGCTCACAGACGCTCCCCCACACACACGCTTTTCTCAATCCCTGCTCCACACCCTTTCTTCTCACTCTTCCACTGTCATGAGTAACTTTCATACGGGTGTTACATATTTGGGGGTCTATGCCCTCCTCCTCCGTCCTGGCAATCTTCGTGTCAACAGTTCTCCACCGTTCCATTTGTTTGCTGCGTGATCGGGTGCTTACCCCGTCTCTCAATTCATCCCTCCTCCCTATCGCACGCTCTTCCCCATTGCTGATAGGAACAGTATTCAGGCGGACACCAGGTCTCCAGATCTCTGCATTCTGATTCCCCGCGTTCTCACTCCCCTCTTCTGTGCTCATCTTTGGGGGGACTTCAAAGTGTTCGTCCCGGGAGGGGGCTGTATTGTTGGTGGGGGTATTCCTTGTCTGCAGGGAATCCAGGCAGAGTTCCGTGTCTCTCCCTTTCACCGTATGCCTAGGCAATCGAGCCATGCTTTCGTTCTTCTCCCCCCTACCCACAGCGTCAGGCTGCAGGCTCCTCATGCTGGATCTTCCACTCTCTCCACAGTTGTTGTTAAGTTCTGGGGGTGGGGGTCTATCATGATGATATTGGGGAAGGGGGAGGTCTTCCATCGGTGGATGATTACGTGTGTTTGACAGTGGTAGCCTCCTCAGACGTTCATTAGAGCGGTATTGGTGTTGGTCGGGCGAAACGGGGGTGTCCCTGGAGTGTAGAGGGTTGGCCAAAGTTCCATCTATCTGTTCAGGATGGAGGCCAGGTATCCCATCACGTTTACAGCTGTGCAAGCATTGTTCAGGCTGCTTATAATAATTGGCATGGTGTTTAAAATCCCATTTCCTCAATGCTTGTTGAGCTGGATGTAAGTCAATGTGACGATTAACCGCATCTTTGTTGGAATACCACGCCTCTTTCAATAAGTAGCAGTAAGAAAATCGGAGATGATACCCTAAAGAAGATACGCCCCCGTGACACGGCGCTCGCTAGATTTTACGGGCTCCCAAAAATCCACAAGGAAGGCACCCCACTTCGCCCTATCGTGTCATTTATAGGTACCCCAACATCGGGATTAGCGAAGTGGCTTAGCACTCATCTGGGCCACCTTGTGGAAGGCAGCCCCACAACGGTCAATTCTGCAGAAGAATTCCTCAACAGAATTAAGACCCTTAGGGTGGAGGATGATGAGAGGATGGTATCGTTCAACGTTACCTCCCTCTTCACCTCCATCCCCCAGGACTTAGCTATTTCAGCCCTGGGAGAGCGCTTGAGGAATACAGAAGGGAGCCACCACCAGGACTCCCTTCAGACAGATGACCTCCTGCGATTAGTGGAAATATGTCTTACCACCTATTTCACTTTCCAGGGTACCATCTTCGAACAAGTTAAAGGGACACCTATGGGCTCCCCCATTTATAGCACTATAGCGGAAATAGTACTCCAACAGCTAAAACACAGGGCTATGGCCTTATACCAACCCAAATTTTGGGTTCGGTACATGGATGACACGTTTGCGGTTGTTAAAAAACAACATGTAGCTACCTTTATGAGAGTACTTAACTCGATCTGCTCCGACATCCAGTTTACAGTGGAGGAAGAAAAACAAGGTCACCTAGCCTTCCTGGACGTGTCAATATACCGTCAGTTGGATGGGACGTTACTTACAGGGGTGTTTCGTAAACCCACCCACACGGACAGAATACTCCACTATAGGAGCAACCACCCCGTATCTCATAAAGCTAGCTGCATTAAAGCATTGTTTAAGCACGTGGACTCCCACTGCAGCACTGAGGAGTTTAAGAAGAAAGAAAGGCAATACCTTTTCCGGATTTGCCAACGTAATGGGTATCCTTTGAGGTTTATCAGACAGTACGGTCTTACACCCCAGTCCCGGAACAACCAAAAGAGAGAGGAACCATCATTACAAAGAATGTGTGTTTCTTTGCCATATATTAATAACGTCTCGGAGGCAACAGCCAGACTGCTGGCCCCCCATGGAATAGAAGTGGCCCACAGACCCAATCAGACATTACGGTCCAAAGTCGTTCGCCCCAAGGACCCACTCCCTGCCATGGATAGATCAGCAGTAATCTATAAAATCAATTGCAAGAACTGCGATGGCAACTATGTGGGTGAAACAGCTAAGCGTTTAAGATCTCGCTTGCATGAACATCAGTTAGCTATAAGAAGGGGCGAGCAGCATTCTCAATTGTGGATGCATATGGCACAACATGGCCATCAGTTTGACTTTGTGAATGTTTGCATTATGTCTGAGGATGCCACTAAGGGAGGCCGGCTATTGAAAGAGGCATGGTATTCCAACAAAGATGCGGTTAATCGTCACATTGACTTACATCCAGTGCAACAAGCATTGAGGAAATGGGATTTTAAACACCATGCCAATTATTATAAGCGGCCTGAACAATGCTTGCACAGCTGTAAACGTGACGGGATACCTGGCCTCCATCCTGAACAGATAGATGGAACTTTGGCCAACCCTCTACACTCCAGGGACACCCCCGTTTCGCCCGATCAACACCAATACCACTCTAATGAACGTCTGAGGAGGCTACCACTGTCAAACACACGTAATCATCCACCGATGGAAGACCTCCCCCTTCCCCAATATCATCATGATAGACCCCCACCCCCAGAACTTAACAACAACTGTGGAGAGTGTGGAAGATCCAGCATGAGGAGCCTGCAGCCTGACGCTGTGGGTAGCGGGGAGAAGAAGAACGAAAGCATGGCTCGATTGCCTAGGCATACGGTGAAAGGGAGAGACACGGAACTCTGCCTGGATTCCCTGCAGACAAGGAATACTCCCACCAACAATACAGCCCCCTCCCGGGACGAACACTTTGAAGTCCCCCCAAAGATGAGCACAGAAGAGGGGAGTGAGAACACGGGGAATCAGAATGCAGAGATCTGGAGACCTGGTGTCCGCCTGAATACTGTTCCTATCAGCAATGGGGAAGAGCGTGTGATAGGGAGGAGGGATGAATTGAGAGACGGGGTAAGCACCCGATCACGCAGCAAACAAATGGAACGGTGGAGAACTGTTGACACGAAGATTGCCAGGACGGAGGAGGAGGGCATAGACCCCCAAATATGTAACACCCGTATGAAAGTTACTCATGACAGTGGAAGAGTGAGAAGAAAGGGTGTGGAGCAGGGATTGAGAAAAGCGTGTGTGTGGGGGAGCGTCTGTGAGCCCAGGGAAGCTTGTAACACTGATAGAGGAGAAACAGATGCCCCCAGGGTGGAGAATGAAAACAAAAAGGGGAGGAGGGTCAGTGCTATGGAAGGAAATAAGGATAAAGGGGTGGTGGAGGAGATGAATACCAGTAATGAGATAGTGGAAGGAATGATCCAGAAGAACCATAGAAGGAAGCGTAAGGAGAGTAATAAAGAAACATCTGGAACACTAATTAACCGGCCGGGACCGGTGACGCGGTCCATGAGCCGGGTGCAGATGCCGGCAAAACCCATTTAAGTCATCATTGTTTACTGGCTCCTTAGCCCTGATGATGTTTGGAGTTTCCAAACGAAAGCTTGGCAGCTTTTAGTAAAGTATATTTTTATATTTATACTCTCCTGGTGTTCGTATTTTATTTGTACCATATATATATGGTACAAATAAAATACGAACACCAGGAGAGTGTATATATATATATATATATATATATATATATATATATATATATATATAACTATTCTTTTAATAGTTCTTGTCAAATC